GTGAAAACAGACAAAATATAATAAAATGCAAAAGTGCTAACTATATACAAAAATGTACAAATGATATTAACAACACAAATGGGTGTAAAGAAGCAAAATATGAATAGATGCAAAAGTGCAAACGTACTTACAAATTACAAAAATATGCAAACTATATACAGATAGTGCAGAGAATTAAAAGGTGCAATCTAGTAGAAGTAAGCACAATTATTTATTTTTTCTGCTGCCACTCGAACAGGACATTGGACACGTCAAACATTGCATGCGCCCTGTGCTCCTCAGGCACCCTTCGCAGCATATCAGCCACAGTGTTCCCGGTTATAATTACAACCTAGTACATTTTCTTCACAGAGATATTATTTTTGCACAAATCAATACTCCATTAGCATTGCTAGTTAAGTTAGCTAACCTAAACACAAAGGACGTGCATTCTTTACCTTATCGTCAAAGTTTGACTCCGTGAGCCTGTGTTTCACATCAGGTTCCAGCCAAGACAGGAATAAATAAAACACCGGGACTTTTTATCCTCCTGAATCCCCGCTCTTTGTGGCAAGTTTTTTTTTACGCAGGCTAATGTACTTGTCTCGAGTGTTCTTCCATCTCTTCATACACTCCGCTACATCCAACCTGACGTTGGAGGAAATCTCTCTCCATGAATTCGCTGCCATCTGGCAGTCTTTTTATTCTGGCGAAGACGAGTCATACAGATGGCTGTATTTCCTCACCTTTTCAACCAATCGCTCGGTAACTCAGTCCATTTCCATGTTTCTTTCCTATGGTTTCTTTTGCTGAACTTAGAATTAAAAAATGGTGATGCAGGAGAACACGCTGGAAATGCGTAAGAGGAAACGTGATGCTACCAAAGCCGACCAATCACAGATCTTGCGGTCCGCGCCATCGCAATATGTAGTTACATTTTTTATAGGAGGTGCGCATCAGGCTACGGCGAAGGGTACGCGGTATGGCATACGTCTGTGCGTATGCTACACCGTACCTACGGCGCGCACAGAAGTATAAATTGGCTTTATGCCTGTGCGGAAAAGACTGTGTGCAGTAGTCTAAGGAAATTAAATAGACTTTTTAAGTTTTTCGGGAGATCTTTTTGGATCTCTCTTCAAAGGTTCACAACTTAAAAAGTACATTTGTCGTTTAAAACAATAAAATAATTTTTTTTTAAATTATATTGTTACAAAGGTATTGCTAAAACATAGCAAAACATTACAAAGACTGTGAACTGTGAAGTACTGAAATGTGGAGTTAGACCGTTAAACAGTTTTTCACCATTGCTATTGTACGGATTTTTTGGGCGGGGCTAAAACAGGCCTCGATGACACTGGAGCCCATGAGCTCCTGGACACGCCCATACTTGATGACGAGGCCACTGAGGCTGATCTCTCCCCTAGAGCACATTTGCATTTGCCACTCAATTGCGAGTGACTGTCAGTACTATTAGTTACTACAGCCTACAGTTTGCGAGCTAGCTATGCCTTCGACACGGAAATGCATAGGCTACTACCTGGATGCGATCATGTACAAAACAGATCGGTGTCTTTATTTAAATTTCCTAAAAACGATCACAGCAAGAAGAGGTGGATTAATTTTGTGTAGAGCCAATTTTTTTTATTAAGCTGGCAATTCTAATGGAAAAAAATAGCTCATAAAATTATATAATTACTGCAAAGTATCATAAAAAACTATAAAATATAATTGAATGTTTATCCTGGGAAAAAGTAAAAAATTGAAGGCTTCGTTCATTTTTGACCGGGAGGAGGCTAAGTGTAACCCATTTATGAAGAAGCCAAGAGGATTCATAATATTATTTGCTGGTAGACTTTAGCTGCCAACAAAAAGGCTGAAAGTTTCATATCAGAGTTATGACGACTGGGCAAACAACAGGACTGCCATCCCATTATTGCTGTGCCAGCCTAAGCTCTTTGTGCAGGAGACCCTGAACTGCATGCAGGGGTTTCCCCATACCGGTGTCTTTAAAAGACCCCAATCACACAAAGTTGACATTGCTCTCAAACCTCACTTGTGGTTTTGTTAGCAACCAGAAGGTGGCGCACATGTCATGTTTAGGAGCATGTTACACATAATCTCAGCACTGCAATCTCTTTCTTCAGTTCAGTCAGAAAGCACATCTGTGAAAGTGTGAGCTTTAGCTTTGATTTTAACCATTGGATTTAATGCTTAAATCTAGTCCCAGATCAAAATGCATGTTTGAGCTGTTTTAACTGAAAGCAATATGCAGTGACGTATATCTTAAAATATGCCAGTGTCATTGATTTGTCTCAAGATGCACACCTGGCTTAATCTAAGCCATGTTTGTGAATCCAGGCCTACTGTAGGTACTATCGACAACCGTTCATCTGTGCATACAGGGCTCAGAGGACAGTTTCTACTTGCCATTATTTTCACAAGGAAAAGGATATTGCCATCTTTGTGGGGGAATTTTGTCCCCGTAATGTAGGGTATACCTTGACCACACACACACACACACACACAGCAGAATTGAGCAAACAACATTTAATGTGTCACAGAAATCCAAATGTTTTCATAAAACATGTCCATGATTGGTGAACTTAAAATGAAACACAGCAGAGAAAGTTTAACCTTCATCCTTCCCTCGCACTTTGTGAAGTATAAGCCTTAAAATTATACTTCATTTTTTTTTCTGTAAAGATTTTTAAATTTAACTTTGATCAGATTTTTACATTTTTTTTCATGCATTTTTTTGGGATATTCAAAAAAATGTATTTACATTTTAATTACTATATAGCCAAAAAATAATAAATGAATAATAAAAAGCACATTTCTCACATTCGTTCAACTTAAATTCAAAATAAATCATAATTGCACGTATAACCCTTTTAATTCAGCTCAAAATGTCTTACAGTGAAAAAATAAAAAATAAAAAAATAATAATATAACACTATATTTCATGACTCTCGCCACTAGAATAGCTCTATATGGAGCAAGTTCTGCTGGGTCCTAAAGTCAGTTTATCCTCAGGATGCATTAGATACACATATTAAATATATATTTTTTGGCAAAGTTTTAGCCTTTTTAGTTTGAATTTTGAGAATTTTTGGGTTTTTTCTATGTGTACTGAAGCATTCCTTGCATTCCATTCATTCCTAAGGGGGTCAAATTAATCCGCAAGGAGAGGACTTGTTACTTTTTTTCCAGTTTCAACCACAAAACTCCTCGAACTCCTCCACCTTTTTGTATATTTGTGGTTCAGTTGCGATAAAAGTCTAAAAGGGTCTTGGAATTTTTCCAAGATTTTTTTTTTTTTTTAATTTTTTTAACGATTTGTAATGATTCACAAAGAATTATAGATTCTAGACAAAGAATTATAAATTTTGTTTAAAAAAAAGAAAAGAAATAGAGGAAAAGAAATGTAAAGGAGCAAAGTATATAGTATAGGGAAACGTGTACACACTGTATCTAGGCCATCCAAATAATTGAGCTATAACCATGCGGATACAAACGGTTGTTCACAAGAATTCATTTACAAAGCCAAATTACAAAAAGTGTAACGTATTTTTAAAGATGTGATAGCGATCGTGATTTGAGGCAGACCTGGTCTAACCTGTTTGACAAGTTTAGTGAGGCAGTTTAATCAGTGCTAAGTTCCCTCTCATATGAACCTGACCAACACACACTAGCTCTCTCATAGTCTCCTCGTCTCCGCAGGATTTTAGCATCCCCCCCCCCCCTCTCATTCTTTTAAGAACATGTTTGATACTTTCTGCCTCCTTTATCTCCCAGTCTCTGTCTGTGTATTTGTGTGTGTGTGTTTGAGAGAGAGAGAGAGAGAGAGAAAGAGAGAGAGAGAGAGAGAGAGAGAGAGAGAGAGAGAGGTTGATTCCTTGGTTTCTTTTGAAAAGCAAGGACACAATGGGGTCTTTCTCAGATGGGTTCTGTCTCCATTAAAGACCCTGGGAACACTGCACGGACCCCTCAACCTCCTCTTAAAGGGCCAGACAACTCTCCATCCAAAGCAACCGAGAGCACAACAACAATCCAATGCGTTTTCCTGGGAAAAAGAAGGAATCAATTATTCATGAAGGGTGCGTGAATCCCACTTATCTTACACTCTCTCTGCGTTCACCCAAACAAACTTCACCCATATTTATCCTGTTTCCCAAGCCCCGTATGAGCATTCTGTACTCGCTCACCCGCAGACATAACCATAAGAGCGACATAACAAATGACAAAACAAGAGATTAGACACACAGAGCCACAGTAGTGTGTTTACTTTTATACCCGATGTGATCTTCAAAGATGCTCACATGGATTTGGTTGCGAAGCCATTTTGTGCTTGAGGTTAAAGAATTCAATGTTTCCACAGATTAATATAATTTAACATGATTCACCTTCAAAACCTTGATGTGCCTTTGTAATTCAGTTTCAAAAATCTGCCAATAATTGTAAAACAGTTTACAATGAAATACAATATTGTAAAGGTGATTCATGAATTTTTGCAATATTTTCTTTGAATAGACAGAAGAGGTTTTACACAAATTAACACAAGTTAAGATGGCGTATTATTAGTCAAGTGTGCATGTCAACTCACCTTTATTTATATAGTGTTTTTTACAATACTGACTGTTTCAAAGCAGTTTTACAGTGATAACAGGAAAATAATGCAACTAATTTTTATTTGTTGCAAATTTTTATTAATCCATCAAAGTTTCGGGTGCACAGCAGATCTAGATCACTGGGGTAATATTACACTTTTGAGTAATATAAAATAACACATTTGGGATTTACATAGTGATTTGCTTAGATTTCGTCATGAGGAGTGTGGACTTTCTTTCAGGCAAACTTCAACTTTAGTCATTATAAAACGACTCTTAGACCGTAAGTTTTAAAGTAATGTTTATCTATATTTAGTGTGTCCGTAGGTTTGGTCGAGTCTAGGTGAAGGGGGTTGTTGTGTATTGGAGCACTGAGAGGGAGGGCGAGATGGAGGAGGAGGAGGAGGAGGAGAAAGACGGACAAAAGTTGAGTGGAGGAATGTGAGTTTGTCTGAAGGGGAATAAAGGCGTCCTGATGGGAGAGAGTTTTGGAGGCAAAGGGAAATTCTGACTAAAAAACGCGTCGTGATTCCAAAAATAACAACTCTGACTGGCTGGAAAACTCTCGAGAGGTTTTTTGGTTTTGGCTTCAAAACTTCACGTTCAGGATTACTAAACACGTTTTGAGCTTAAAAAAGAAGAAGAAGAAAAAAGTTTACACTGCTTTTGGAAACAGATTTTGATGGCAATTTTGGGGACGACCTGACAGCTTCACTGTTTTGATCCTGAGGATTCGAGTTTTCCCTGTTTTTCCTGCTGAAGCTTTTTTGAAGTTGACTAAGGAATCTGCCTGAATCGCTCATCTGTGGGAAGTTGGAGCGCTGGAGCGATGCGATGATGAAGATGATGAAGATGATGCGATCTGAGTCCACCGAGTCCCACACGACACCGAACCCGAACCTGAAGCCGAAACCAGACAGAAGAATGACCGGCTCGAAGCTTTTCACCGTGTTACTCATGCTCGTGTTTCGCGTCGGGTCCGCGGAGCGTGTGTCAGGTAACGTTACGAGACTTTTGGATTCAAAACTTTTCCAAGTCAATGCATTTACGTTTCAAAGGTTTCCTGAGCTTCACAATGATTGAATATTAGTATTATAGTTAAACAGAGGTCTGAAAAAAGTAATAGTTAGTTTTTAAACATGTTTGAATGTCATTAGAAAACAAGTGTTAAAGATGAAGATAAATATTGTGAGGCTTTTTATATGAACTTGAGGGGAACTTTTTATAGTCACTAAATGGCCTATGAAAAATGCAAATAATTGCAATTCAGACAAATTAGTACAGTTCTAAGAAAATATGTTGTGACTAAAGTGTCCTAAAACGTTTGGGGGCCCTACAGCATAGATCTCATACATCATCAGTGCATGTCATTGATGTCAGAAACAAATAAACAAGGTGCTTGACACATTATGTAGTTCACTCTTGAACACATTTAAGTACTTTGCTCTATTTATGTCACACCGGTTTTGCTTAGTGTTTAGAAGTTTGTGTGATATTATTATTATTATTTTAATTTTCAAAATGGGTCTGTTTTCATCTGACAGAGCAGAACTAAATCCTACATGGAAAGAGGGGCCTGAGGTATATCTTGAGACAAGAAAATCCTATAGAGTTGAGTATGGGCTCTTTTGAGTTAGTAAGGTTCGTAAACCACCCCCTAACAACAACAACATTGTACGACCTTAGCAACTAGCCATCCTAGCAACAACAACACTGCATCATGTGTGATTTTTGCATCATTTCCTCAGGATGTGTAAAAGTTGTTTGTAACACTGATAGTGTGTTTAAGTGTTTACCAGAAACAAACTCAAAGTTGTCTATGAGTGGCCTTTATGTGTGCTGTAGAACTGAGCGAAGAATCTCAGACACTTATCAAACTCTCCCATCACATCTCCCAGACTGTGAAGACGGGCAGCCTAAACACGCAGTGTGGATAATGTGTGGAAGTGGGGACCGGTGAGGGATTTCACAAAGAATGTGACTCGGGGCCATGCTGAATCAAACAGGGGAAATGATGGATTGGGTTGAGGGCAAAAGGGATGGATGAATTGAATGAAATAAAAAGCCACATGAGGAGACAAGTGAAAACATAAAGGAGGAAAGAAAAAGTGATTTGTGTTAGACTGGGCCGACAATGGAGAGGGTAGTGGTTGTCTTTGACAGGTTTTTACTGATGAGAGAAACACCATAACATTTGACAACACTGGACTGGAGGAAGTGCTATAACGAAAAATGCAAGGAAATCTTGCTTATTGCATTGAATATGTCAACTTTTAGTTGGCAACTTAATGTATAGTTGGCCTCAAAACTAACAGATATGCCATGGACTAAAATATACAATTTTGACGAACTGATCATTGTTATTCATTGCTAAACTGTCATATAGAGTCAATCAGTTGTCTTTGGAAACTGTCTTGTTGAATAGACAAGAATACAGAAGTTTCTTCTTGATGAATACACAGTTTTTTAGGAAAATATGCAACATTAGGAAAGTAAAAAGGATGACTTTATTTAAAAGGAAGCTTCATGCACACAACGAGAGTTGAGGTTAGAGTCGACTGGCCACACTCAGGCCATCACAAAAGGAGAGATGTTAGAAAGAGCTAGTGAAGCTAAAAGCCACTAGCAATATATATAAGAACTAGCTATGACGGGGGTTTAGAGGGCCTCGTTTTAAACATCAACTTGGGACTCACATCTGTGTGTGTGTGTGTGTGTGTGTGTTCCCCTAAACCTTCGCTAAAAGATGGAACATATTGTTCAGCCCATTCATATTTAAACAGACTCTAGATGCATTGAAGGAATGTTGAACAAACAAAAAAATCCTTTAACTTAAATGTATAAGTTTTGTGTTTGTGTTGAGTGTGCCAAAGTTTCCCAAAGTCAGTCCTTTTCTCTTGTTGTTGAGAAAGCAGGCCTACACTCTAAAAAATGCTGGGTTATTTTAACCCAATTTTGGGTCAAATATGGACAAACCCAGCTATTGGGTTAAATTTGTAAATTGCATTTTTTAATCCAACCATTGGGTTTGTCTATATATTTGACCCAAAATTGGGTTAAAACAACCCAGCATTCTTTAGAGTGTACTTAGAAGAGGGATGGTTGTGTTGGTGTTTTGGATGCCATTTCACACTGGGTGAAATAATCGTCATATGGTCAAAGGTTAAGGGTCAGGGCAGTGTCTGACAGCTTTGAAAATCCAAAACTTGAGTTATTAACACTTTCCCCCGCCATTTATGGAAATTTCAGTCATTTGTGAGAAAACGCTTCCCATGTTTTCACTGTTGTACGGTAGGGGTGCTGATTTTTGCAGCTTTTTGCTGAAAAAGTTGCTTTTTTTTAATGAAACTCATACCCACATTCAAAAGTTGATAAAAAATGAATGCATGAAGCTATAATAAAACTTTTTTTTTTAAGCAGAGGGTCTGTTCTTTCTTTTTTATATTCTGCATGTTCAGATATTCATACAACAAAATATTCTGGGGGCCATGAAAATTTGGTGAAAATCATCAAAAAGTGGTGGCTGGCAACTTTTCCTTTTTTAAATGGAGTTAAGCCAGAAGGAATTCGTAACAGGTTGCATCATCCGAAGCTAAACTACATGGATCTGGCTGGATTACACGCCTCTGGTATCTCTCAGGCTTCGGCTACGAGCTTGTTATCCACTCCATGCTGACAGAAGAATTTAAAACATTCCAGTTCTTCAGGCAGATGGACGTGCATGGAGCCAGTGGAAAGTGAACCACCGTGGCCAAGCTGATGTTTGACAGAGACCATTTGCAGTCTTTCCGTCTTATTCACATCCTAAAAATCCATGCCAGGGAGGGTTGTGTTTTTGAATGCCTCGCCTACTAAATCAGTTCACAGACATACACTACCCCACTGGCATTGAAAGGGAGGTTAGACTGATAAGTTCATGGGATTCACTTGTCTCTCAGTACAGGAGATTTAGATTGAAATGGAAGACACATCTTAGGATAAGAACAGCATTCACACTTTGGGCTGAACTCATAGAAACCCCTAATAAGAAGGGTGGTTTTAGCCCATGTCCTGGACTCAGCTTAAAGGCCTGTACGCACCGGGACAAATATTAGATAATCGCTCGTTGATTGATAAAAGTATGTCGGAACAGCAGTTTGTTTTGATCGGGGTTGATGCTGGTGATGGCGGTGAATCAGTTGATACGGGAGAATCCGAAGTGCGTGGTTTTTTGGCTTTGTGTGATCGCCCCATTGTACACAGTCTGTTGAAGTGATGATCAATGTAATCCTCCAGTTGGTCCAAGTCCGAGATGAAATCCAGGTTTTGAGTTAGGTTTAAAGTGGGTGATGTTGTTACGGAAAAAGCGAGAGAGAGAGAGAGAGAGAAGGGAAAAAAAATAAAACGGAAAAGTTTTTTATCTTTTTCTAGCAGCGGCGCGCTGACATGTTGAATTTCCGCACCCAACGCGCACACACACGCACTACGTCAGTACGTCATCACGCCCTTCTGCAGAGATGTGCAGAGCCGGGGTTGCATCAGCGCACATTATTCGTCAGCGTTTTTCAATGCGTTTTTTGTGTTCACACCCAAGCGTTTTTTTGCTGACGATAAGCCGAGTGAACATGCAAATTCATTCCCTGACATTAGATGGCGCTTAATGTAAAACAGAAATAATAATAGAATTGTCGTATTTCCCTGCATATCAAACCACTCAAACGTTACACTCGTCCTCATACATGGGGATTGTGTGAGAAAAAAAACACAAACAAACTTCCAACTCTGGTCACAATAGAAAAATAAAATAAAAGAAAGAATACAAAGAGTCGGCAGAGCGGTTCTCCTCTCCTCACTTGTCAAAATCTCACTGACATACGCACACTATATGCGCAGTTCTCATCTCAACTCAGATTTCTATAAAGCACAAAGTGATCGTTTTACACATGTCCCGGGAAAACAGGACTGTTGGTCACCCTATACTATACTATTATTACAGAAATACTAATATAAATATTATCATAGCTCTTTATGCTCCAACATCCGTCGTGCCCATAGGTATCTTGCCTTGAAGGCTATATCTTCTTCGCTCTATGTGTGCTCGGCAAGACCGTTTTGTGTTTGAGCGCCCCCAAGTTGTGTTTTACTGTAACTTCAGAAGTACCAGACACGTGAGCAAACCCGGCAATCTCGTTGGTCGGATAGGTTTTGACGCGGCGCGTCAAACCAAAAAAACGAACCAGAGGCGTTTTTTTAAAAATGACGCTTTTACGCGTGGCGTTTTTCGCGTCGGTGTGAACACTCACATTGGCGGCCATTGTTTAGTCACGAGGCGTTAAGCGCCGACGAATATCGCGCGCGAAATTCGTCCCGGTGTGAACAGGCCTTAATGTTGAGAGTGTGTGAGATAATGACCAAGGGTCTCATTTATAAAACTGTGCGCAGGATACTTACTAAAAGTTTACGTGCGCCCGAAAGCCAAAAATATTCAGATATATAAATATTCAGATTTATAAAACCGTTCGTACGCCAGAACCTGCGCAGAATTCACTTTATAAATCCCAGTCAGCGGGAGATTGTGCGCAAATGTGTCTCCTCCCCGAAATAACCATATATGGAGATTACAACGCCTAGTTTAAATATGCATATCCTCGTCTGCATATCATTTGCATATGATTATTCATCCACCACGTGATACCATGTTAAAGTACAAGACATTAGGAAAATATGAAATACAGATGTGGTGTATCACAATAAATTATTTTAAAAAATGTTTTAGTAGCCTATATCCTTGCCTTGTTTTTGAGTGAATAAATCAAATAGTGTTAAATACATTTCAGAAAAAGATTTTCTTAATCTTTTCCACTGACCAAATAGTGTTTTTAATTGATTTATATTTTTAATGGAAGCAGATAGTCATGGTTGTGCATTATTTGGATGGAAATATTTTCTCAGAAAATCTGCTATTATCATGATTAGCAATTATCTCTAGTTAAAACATTAAAACACAAAGGGAAAGTGTTCAAAAGCATTGCATGCACAACAAATATATATTTCTATTTATTGAATATAATTTTTTTTGTAATGATTTCATGTAGTTTAAGTGTTTAACTCCATGAGAATGGCATATTTAATCTAAATGTTTATATCAGAAGTAAAACATAGTTTAAATCATTCTTTCATTTATTTAAACTGTTATTGTGAACATGCACTGTATAATTAGGACTCATGAAGATTTACGGTTTTACTTCATCTGCCGTTAGATTATAGGATATGTGCGTCAGTTTCACTAAACGGCCCAACGCGCTCGCTGCGCGGACATTTAAGAAAGGATGGATGTTTGCTTCCAGTGATAGGCTTGATGGTTAGTCAAAATTATATTTGTAGGCAATTATCTTTCTTTATTATTTTCTTTAGATTTTCGGTTTCAGATTTAACTCCAGCTCACCATCGATGTCGCCAATTCCCTTTATCTCCAGAATGTGCGCACGCACGGCTCAAAGTTTGCTTAAAGGTGCGCACATTCTCCCGTCAAGTTTGTTTTTTGTAGATCATAACCTTTGCGTGGAAACTGTAGGACTGTCAAGCGATTAATCGCATCCAAAATAAAAGTTTGCGTTTAAATAATATATGTGTGTGTAGTGTGTATAATTATTTTGTATATATAAATACACACACATGCATGTATATATTTAAGAAATATTTGCATGTATATACTTTACATTTCTACAAAATTAATATTGTCCATAAATATAAATATTTGATATATTACATTTTTCTTATATGTGTGTATTTATATATACAAAATAATTACACTACACATATGTAAACACAAACTTTTATTTTGGATCGTTTCACAGCCCTAGAAACTGGCGTACGTACGTTTCCAGCCCCGTTTTGTGTGTACTCACGCTTTATAAATGAGACCCCTGGTCTGGGAAACACTGAGCCCCACAGAGAAACAGCCTTACAACCGCATAACAATGAACCTAGCAAGGTTTTCTTCCAGATTTTTTTTTAAATCTTCTGATGGATGAACCGACCCTTTCCATATGATAACCAGCTCTTCAAACATCAGCAGATTGCATGTCCAGAAAAGCACCATGTTTTGGTCATTTACCAGTGTAGTGCTTTGACGTACTTTTGAGCATCATGCAAAAGTCTTGAGTTGGCTTATTATTTAGCACTACCCAGATAGCAAACTGACATTGAATCAACGTGGAAATATGACATAGAAACAACGTTGATCTGACATTGTTTTGCTCATCGAATTAACGTTGAACCAACGTCAGACGCGTCATTTTTTTCAAAACTAACGGAAAATCAACTTGAAATCAACGTGTTGTTTCAACGTTATGAAAGCAAACCAATTTTCGATTTTCATTTAGCTTTGAAGGATGCCGCGTCTGCCGTTGGTTCAACGTTAATTCGATGAGCAAAATCAACATTGTTTCAATGTCATGAGAGACGTCGTTTCCACGTTGATTCAATGTCAGTTTGCTGTCTGGGTATGGTATATTTCAAATGACCAAATATTTGCTTAATGGACAGGTTGTGTGAGCTGAAGTGTTGGACTTGACTTGATGAGTTTTCCATGGTCTGCGCAGGGCTAAGCTTCGTGGAGAGCCCTGGGAATGTGACTTCCTCTCTTGGGAAGGCGGTGGAGGTCCAGTGCGCCCTGCTAGCCGACGGGGTGGACCTGGACGTGGTCTGGCTGAGGGAGGGACAACCGCTGCACTTTGCTGAACTCAACCAGATGCAGGTCCCCGAAGATGAAAACAGCTGGCTGGTTATCAGTAAACTCAAGTAGGAATGCTGACTTTATCGTGTTTAATTTGGACAGTGAGTTGGTTTTTCTGTTTCCTCTGTCCATGATTGGTGTTGGCTCCATTACTTTGGTAACTAGCATTATTATTATATAGTAAGATATACAGTATGTATATCGCGTATATTACTGCATTAATGCCTGATAAAAGGACTGAATTACATTAAATCCTGAATTTTTGGACAGAAACGTGATAGATACAGTACACAGAAAAATAAAAATAAATGTTGCTTATAAAGCAACTGGGGTATTATGCTATAAATTCTAAAAGTAATATATTACTTTACTTGCTACCATCATTACATACAATTGTATTACCTGTAACCTCCAACACTGAATAATGCCCAGACCATATATATATATATATATATATATATTAGGGCTGTCAAACGATTAATCGCGATTAATCGCATTCAAAATAAAAGTTTGTGTTTACATAATATATGTATGTGCACTGTGTATAATTATTATATATTTATATATAATATACATTATACATTGTATATATATATCTATATACAATATATACATTAAAGTATTTCTTAAATATGTACAAGCATGTGTGTGTATTTATATATAAAAAATAATGATACACAGTGCACCCACATATATTATGTAAACACAAACTTTTATTTTGGATGCGATTAATCGCGATTAATCGTTTGACAGCCCTAATATATATATTTTTTAAACTTGGTACAAAGCTCATTGGTACAATAGCTTATGGTCCAATCCCCAATGAACACACACACTGATCAAACTGAAACCTGAAATTTACAACGAGAGAAAAGTCACATGAATATATAAAAATTTGGCTATAATTGTCAGATTAAAAGCATCCACTTTCTGCTCACAGGATAGAGGAGCTAACGCTCTCGGATATGGGCTCCTATCAGTGCGCGGTTTACTCCGGTTCAGAGGTGACATTATCCACTGAGGGGCACATCCAAGTAGAAGGTATTACCTTTCTTAAGTGTATGTTAAAATGTAATGTTCTCTTTAAATTCACATAGGTTTTGTACTGGGATTATATGTGCAGAGAGGTGGAAACCAACTTTGGGAGTCTGGGAAGTCCTCTATAGCACATTATTGATACATCTATGGATCCTCTTTTTCCTCCTTCAGGTCTGCCCCATTTCTCAGTGGAACCGCACCATTTGTCAGTAGTGGCCAATGTAGGGCTGAGTCTGCACTGTGAGGCTCATGGTCCTCCTGAACCTGTACGGGTCATCTGGCTACAGGACGGGGCTCCTCTCAATAACCTGGAGGACCCCATATCCCTGTCGCCCTCAACGCTACACCTCTCAGGTACTGTTATATATAACTTTGCTTTCCTAACAACAAATTCCTTGTCGCTGTCTGGCGGAAACCTTGTGTTTCCGTCTTTTTTTTTTCATCAATACTTATTGATCACTATTGATGTCTGTCTGTGAGCAAATATTTAACCAATGAAAAGTTGGCCAAACCTCAGTTTTGAATGATGTGCCACAGACAGTTTCTGAAGCAACAATGCAAGGGTAAATATAGAACGGATAAAGCAGTTTCTTTACACAAACACTATGCATGGGAAAACCCAGACAACTTCTGGCAAATTTAGATTTGCTCTGAAAGTTAGTCTGGCAAAGAGCTCATCCAAGCCCATTTCCAATCCGTCGAAATCGCGGCACCAATCAGAAACGTTGGGGCGGGCTTTACACGATGAGGACAGCGCTGGGATTTTGAAGCAGATTTTGTAGCCTACATTACAAAGATGGACGCCACCGTCGAACATCACTCGTTCGAATCAGCTATCACGTCTTTTTTAAAGGATTAGTTCACTTTTGAAAAAAACTTTTGCTGATAATTTACTCACCCCCATGTCATCCAAGATGTCCATGTCTTTCTTTCCTCAGTCGAAAAGAAATTAAGGTTTTTGATGAAAACATTCCAGGATTTTTCTCCATATAATGGACTTCAATGGGAACCAAACGGTCCAAGGTCCAAAAGACAGTTAATAACAGTTTCAGATGCAGCTTCAAATGTCTTTAAACGACACCAGACGATGAATAAGGGTCTTATCATGCGAAACGATCGGTTATTATAAAACTTATTCCAAAAATGTAACTTTTCTAAGGACAAATGCTAGCCTTGCTCCATTCTGTGAGGCGCGTTTGTAACGTCACGTAATACGTAATTACATTCAAAAGGTCACGGGTGACGTAGCCGGAAGTACAGAATCAAAATCGTCCGACATCGCTGTTTTACCTTTTAATTAATTTTTTCGTAAACGGCGTTTGAGTTAGTTTTCACGTTCAACCTATGCGTTCAACTTGTAAACACTGACTCTGTACTTCCGGCTACGTCGCCCGTGACCTTTTGAACATAATTACGTATCACGTGACGTTACAAACGTCGTTTCGCATGATAAGACCCTTATTCATCGTCTGGTGTCGTTTAAAGACATTCGAATCTGCATCTGAAACTGTTATTAACTGTCTTTTGGACCTTGAACCGTCTGGTTCCCATTGAAGTCCATTATATGGAGAAAAATCCTGGAATGTTTTCATCAAAAACCTTCATTTCTGTTCGACTGAAGAAAGAAAGACACGGACATCTTGGATGACATGGGGGCGAGTAAATTATCAGCAAAAGTTTTTTCAAAAGTGAACTAATCGTTTAAGTGATTTGAACGTTTCCTTTTTGTTAAAAACCGCGCGAAGAACAACACTCAGAGATGTTTCTCCGTCGGCCGCCGCTCTGCAAACGTCATCTCCTTCATCGCTCTGATTGGTTTTAGGTCTACCCGCGACGTCCCTTGGTGACGCCCCTCTGGAAATGATTTGTCTGTGAAGCTTTGCCAGACCATAACTCAGTTACAACTGAGAATGGGCTGGTTTTAACCAGGCTACATATAAAGGCAAATTCTCCATGTATTTGAGGAGCAAAGAAGAGCGTCTTAGGATAGCATTTGCTGTCTAGTCGTAGCCAGTGTTGGGGAAAGTTACTTTTGAAAGTAATGCATTACAATATTGTGTTATTCCCTAAAATCTACTTTTTTATGGAAGTAATGCATTGCGTTAAAATTGCGTTACTTTTTCTCATCTGGACAGGGCTTGCTTGTATGCTTTTACTGCCAAAAAAACCCCCAAATAAGCCTCAGGCTGAATGAAACGCAGATTCACACCTGTGCAGTAGAGGGCGCAGCTCAAACAAACCTTTAGCAGATTGTAGAAGAATATTACTCTGGAACAAAAAAACACAAATGTTTATCTAAAGACACTTTTGCTTATTTATAAAGTTGAATTGGAGCTGCAGAGACATAGTGAGATCACATATATTTGTGTAATTTAACATATTTAATCATATGCTGAGCTAGTTTTTATTCATTTTTGTGGAATACTGGGTCAGTTGTTGTGCATGGAGATGAGTAAATGCTCACATTAATCTAGAACCACAATAAACATCATGTTTACACAAAACGCCTCTGCACTTACCCCTGATTTCTCTCAACATTTACAGTCAGTAAATGGGAAAACAAAGGGACTTGAGTTGCTTATTTGAAAAACTAACAGATTTTTGTTATACAATGAAAAATAATGCATTATACTTTACTAGTTACTTGGGGAAAGTAATCTGATTACTTAACTCAAATGACTTGTAATGGGTTTCCCCAACGCTGCTCATAGCCAGTGCTGTCTTAAATAGACTTTATGTCTAACATGAGATAGGCAGAGCTTGTGTAATGCTGGGGAAAGAGTTGGTTCACCCTTTGCCTATGGATTTTAGCCAAATTAGGACAAACTTAAGTCTCAAATAGATACTATACACATTGTAACCTGTAAGTTGATGAAAACAAACTGCATTACACTGATGTGGTCACACTATTGACGGACAGAACACATGGACATTTCCCTCGACATGTAACTCTTCACACTTCAGTATGTAATAATGATGCGGTAACACCATACACTGTAATTATTGGCTGCTATTATTAGTGGTGTTTGCCAGTGTTATAAACACTATCCTTACGTAACCAAAATTTACTGTCAGGATTTACTAAAGACAAGCAGTGAAAAATGTGTTAATGGACAGAGTTATTTTTGCAGCCGACCGTATTGCAAACACATTTGTAGGAGTTCCCCTTTCAGACACAATTTATAGTAGGAGTGTATTTAAATAAATCATTACTAAGGTTTGCGCTCGTCAATGTACTGGTGTTTACCGCCCCAAACAAGCATGTCTTAAACCAGATGCTAACTGGGAGATTGTGTTGGTCATTATGGAAATGATCCGGCTGTGTCTCTGTTTTTAAAGGAGTAGTTCACTTTTAAAAAAAAACGTTTGCTGATAATTTACTCGCCCCCATGTCATCCAAGATGTCCATGTCTTTCTTTCTTCAGTCGAAAAGAAATGAAGGTTTTTGATGAAAACATTCCAGGATTTTCTCCATATAATGGACTTCAATGGGAACCAAACGGTTCAAGGTCCAAAAGACAGTTTCACTGCAAACTGTTCAAAGGGCTTTAAACGACATCAAAATGAACGAATCTTTTTCCGAGTCAATTTGTTAATTTCGTTCGTTGAATGAACCAAATGACACGGAAAAAGATTTGTTCGTTTTGATTAACGAGTTCGAACAGGAGAGTCACGAACGCGCATCACAGAACAGAGCAAGGCGAGCATTTGAGCTTATAAAACTTAAACTTTGTTATTTATTTATTAAATGAGCGATCGTTTCGCTTGATAAGACCCTTATTCATCGTCTGGAGTCGTTTAAAGCCCTTTGAACAGTTTGCACTGAAACTCTCATTTGGACCTTGAACCGTTTGGTTCCCATTGAAGTCCATTATAAGGAGAAAAATGCTGGAATGTTTTCATCAAAAACCTTAATGTCTTTTCGACTGAAGAAAGAAAGACATGGACATCTTGGATGACACGGGGGTGAGTAAATTATCAGCAAAAGTTTTTTTTTAAAAGTGAACTAATCCTTTAACCTGCGTGTCGACAGTAAATCACAACAACTTTCCTCTCCCATCTCGCTAATCTGCCCTGTTTAGTAAATCTTAAACGTCGGTGTGTAACCCATCCCCTAGATGATGACGAACCCATCAAGAGCCAGATCTAGATACCTGAGGCCTTTTGAATAAATTTCTTAGAGTAATATTACAAGTTAGTCATCTATTTTTTCTTTAAGACATTCTTTCTTTAAGACCAGTCTCACACACACACAAACACACACTCTTTGTAGCAGGCGGCCTGTCTGGCTGTTTTCCAAATGGGAATCATCCTTTGAGACGCTGGCCTTTGCTTACTGGTGAAAGAGCAGCAGGAGATGAGAGGAAGGCTGGACAGGAAGAAAGAGGAGGAGGCCTTTGAAAACCTGCCACAGCACAGTGCCACATACAGCCTGTGTTGTTGTTCCAGCTGTACTGAGCTGAAGAGAGAGAGAGAGAGAGAGGCTTTGACTCATCATGGATAACTGACCATTAGTTGGGCATTCACATCTTTGGAATGAAACACTTCTGCTTGCACACACACACACACACACTGACTCACGCTCATTCAAGGATTTCATAAACTAAAATGGCGGATCTTTCCGTCCATAACATTCCTTCTGTCAGTGCAACAGCGCGATCCTCACAGAGAGAGCATTAAACACTTCGTAAAGCACGCGAACTGGATTGTTATTACCAGATACTCATGGTCAGGGGTTTGATATAACAACATTAGACGTAGGCTATTACATTTTGAGGAGAAAAAAACCCCTACAAATAAATCATACGAAACACCTTATTAAACACAGCAAATGCCCACAATACTCCATCAACTCGACCACACGTTTTGCAAAGGCACTTGTATTTGATTTCTTTGGCACTAAAGTATATTTGCATGCTTCTTAAATGTGTTCATTTGGACTTTTGTGGGAAAGTGTACTATAATGCAGTGACCTTCTTCATGTTTGGATGAGATGGCAAAAACGTGTTTATTAGTTGAGTAACTAAGTGAAATAAGTCTTGTTTTCCTTCAATCTGTGCTGATGAAAACAGATTGTGTTTTGGGGAAGGAAATTGAATGAGGTGAAACTAGATGTGTCTTGTGCTGATCTCTCTCTCTGTCACACACACACTCAGATCTTTTCCATCAGAATTTGATCCGGTGACCCTTGATATTGAACTTCGGTGGCCTTTCATCAATGGACACACAGTGTTCCTGAATGACACACATAAGCGTTATTTTCCCTGAAAGTGCGAAGAATGCTGTGTGTGAGAAAGAGAGCCTTCATTTGACTTGTTTTTGTGAATGTCAGCATGTGTGTGTGTGTGTTCTCCTCTCCTCAGTGTTTTCCTTAAAGCAGAAGTAGCTCTTTTCAAATCAGCTCTTTATAATTTCCCAAATGAATGCGTTCAAACACTTTCTGAAACTCAACCACAACCACAACACAACTCTGGGTAACACTTCAGACAATCTGTTGACTAAAGTAATGTTGCAACTACACGTCAAATAATTAGTATTAATAGAGTATTATTAAATGCTGAATATCTGCTGTTTACTGTGACGCTCCCCAACAGACATAATAGTGACTATATTTAACTTTACAACTACATGTCAACTTATTCTGCTAACCCTAACAGATAGTTAGTTGACATGTAGATACAATATTACGTATAACAGAAAATGAACTTTTTTATTCTCAACCATGTTGTTTCACTCCTCAACAGGTCTGAATAAAACCAGCTCTTTCTCCTGTGAGGCGCACAATCGCAAAGGTGTGGCGTCGTCCGGCACGGGCACTGTGACGGGTAAGTGCATGGCACCATGGCCGTAGGCAGCTATAAGGTCACTGAGGTCATTTTTTTACATTAAAAAATAAAATGTCATACTCTCTGAATGATTAATTAGCCATGTTTAAACCACCTCATGTGAGCGTTGTCAAGTCATGTTGCTGCGAGAAGCTAGCGCAGTGAACGGGGCGTTGTGATTGGGAGTATCTCCTGGACCTGTTTTTCTGATTTAATGTGACACTTTAGGAAGTTATTAAAGTGTAAAGTTGCATGTTAGGTTAGTGATATATTAATATTATTTCCAAAACACAAGCTTTGAACTTATTTCGGATTATTATTATTAGGGGCCAAGCCTATTGTATCTGTTGGTTTTCTTATTATTACTCTTCTTCCGCCAATGGAAGTCTATGGCAACCCTATGAACCGTAAGTAGGAAAATGATGAAATTTGGCACACTTGTAGTGATGCTAATGAATAGTAATTGGACCAATTTTGGACCCTCTAGGACCAACTCTATAGCGCCACCACCAGTTCTCCCGTGCTCCAGATTGAACGCTGTTTGTTTCTGTGATGTGTTTGTCTGATAGTGAGACTAAACTTGTGAGTTCAGCAGTGGCTGGTACTTAGAGATTCTCACAACCGAATCAACCAGAACGGATTTTGTTATTAGTCTGTTCAGCTTTTATGAGGGAAGCTGTAGGGGGTGAGTGCCTTTTTTCTTTAATAGTGTTTATGTTCCTGTTTTTGATATAGTGAGGGAGTTGGGGGAGGTTCATGTTGTTAATTTCTTAGTATTCCTCCTAAATTAGGTAGAGGGCTGTTTTGTTTGTTATTTTGGGCCTTGCTCTCCCCTGAGCCATTGCTCCCAGTAACCTGTGTTTTACTTTGCCATTGTAAATAAAATCCTTTATTTGATTCATATACCTACTAGTCTGGTCTTCACTCTGGGACAGGGGAATTGAAGTGTGTTCTCGCCTTTCTTTATATTAATTTTACGTTTTATTTCCTTTGTTACTTCTCCTTCCGACCCCTAGACGGTCCCTCCTTCCGACCCCTTTGAACCCTTTGCTCTAGACACATGAAACTTAGTACACCTGATTCCTCTCATCATGCTGATCACAACCAATACTGTACATTAAGACCCCACCCATTACAGTAGTGGCCATTTTCAAATGTACAGTTTTTTCGCTACTTTTGTTTTGTTTTGCTTGTTTTTCGTAGCAATATCTGGCAACATTTTACTGTCGGCATTAATAATAAATAATAATAAAAAAAGCTTATAGACAAACTGTTATTGCATAAAGCTACCACATTCACAATGATAATCGTGATTATGTGTAAGAAATGTAGGCTATAATACTATCAGAAACAATAGCATAATACAGATCTGTCAGCTATGTTACAGAATGAAATTTGCCAAATAAACTTACATGGCCAGCAGGAAGACGGCTCACGCTGTTTAGTTAACGTTTCACAAAGTCATCATAAAAACATTAATTAAAGCAGTGTTTCTCAACTAGCAATCTATTCAGACAGCATATTTGTGTTTGATCTGTGCATTATTGAAATATAAGACCGACTTTTTTTCTATATTTCTTTGCACAAAACTCTCCAGAAAGTGCCATTTAATTGTTTATTTTTCCCCCGAGTGAGAGACTACCCCACACATAATTAAATCCAAATTTAAGTATATACATATGGCACATTCCTTTAAGAAAAGGGTCGCCGCTTCATGTCCATGAGGGGATGTGGGTCCAATGGTCTAACCATTATTATAGCATGATTCTTTACACAACACCCCGGACCTCACTAATTTTCAAACCCTGGTTACGTCCTTGCATGGGACGTCCTGAAGTGAGGGTGCTTTAACGTACACCAGTGGTTAGCCAAGACAATGTAGAAGACAGCTCATGGCTTTCTCACTGTACGAGAGTCGTGAGTCAGTAATATTCAAAGCTGCAATTAGCCAAAATATACATAGGTCATAGCACAAATTCAAAGTATGTTTCATTTATAAGGTGATGTGCAGTGGGACAATGTGATAATTTGCGATACGCCTCCGTCTATGTGAAATTATGCAGAATTGTGATGCATGACGATACGTGATGTGAAAGTCACAGGAATCCTGATATGACTGTTCAGACGGAGGCGAAACACCAGACCTGTGTATGAGCAAATCAGAGTCGAGAAGATCAGACTGCATGTGGTTTGTCATGAAAAAGTTGATCTGAGTCACATATGAACAAAAACGGACTAAATTTGCAAACAAATTTATTTGAGCTATTTTTTAGCAATAAATACAGATGGTAGGGCCTCAAATTGGGGAGAACCTATCAGAGAATGAGCCCGATTGGACCTTAGGTGGCGCTATAGCAACTAAATGTACTAAATTGCTCATAACTCCTAGCGGAACATATTTTTCTTGCCTAAATCGAAATCGGAGATATACATCTTGTCCGTCTTGAGCCAAGGATCACAGTGGTGTTTGAATTTAAGTCAAACACCACTGTGATCCTTGACTCAAGACGGACGAGATGTATATCTCCGATTTCGATTTAGGCAAGAAAAATATGTTCCGCAATGTCGAATTTTGTCCAAAACCTACTTTTGCGAACTTGTTGGTTTTTCACCTGATCTTTTGCGAACCCAGTTTTTTTCGCCTGAGCGGAACCAGACCAGTCTAGGACAATTCTCTGGACTCTCTAGATCAATAATTATCTGAAAAAAGTTGAAATTTTGCATTCGGTCGTCTACAACAGGGTCATTTAGAATATGGTCTCTAGGAAAATACAGTCAAAAGCCAATAAATCCCAAAGGAAAAGTCGGAAATTCACAAACATTGGTGAGTATATGTGTCCTAACATAGTCAGGAAGCATGCAAAGTTTCGTGAAGATCGGATCATAGGTGGCGCTATAACCGTCAAAAAGGTCTCATTCTTATTTAGTGTTCAAGGACGAAAGTATGGTAAATCATACTAGATTCACTGTAAATCAGCATGGTAAATAATGAAAATCACACATGGTAAATCTATTTCATCAATGATCTAATTGCTTCAATACTTGCTACATAAAACTTCATGTCTTTTGATGCTTTTGTGCTTAAATGCCTTAACTGCTTGAACCCCGGCAAATGTTGCTTGCAGCTTTAATTTATATCTATTTTTGATTTTTCTGTCTAGTCCTTCCTGCCCAGCCCCATGACATTAAAGCCGAAGACATCACTAATTCAAGCATCCGTCTGTCTTGGCACATGGGCTTTGGAGGAATCTATCCCATCAGCCTCTGCAGTGTTCAGGTACCTTCAAAAGCTTTCTTTCAGTAGATGGATAATGGATTGAGTAAGTGTGTGTTTGTTTCAAACTGGTGTGTTTGACTTTGACAAGCCTCTGATGCATCGGTTTTGAGTCAGAACACTTGTACCCACATACACACACTGCTTAATCACGCTGTAGACTAGAGGATCACATTTCACACTCTAAAAGAGGCCCGTACGACTCACTTTTGAGGCCCAGTTCCCCCTATGTTCTGGGCCCCTGGTTGGACGTGCGTGTGTGTGTGTGTGTCATACACTCCCTTGGCTTGAGCACCACCCCAAAGTGCCTGGTTCTAATAAAAAAGGCTCTTGTGTCTGAGCCTTCGCCCCTCCTCTAGTTCCCCAAAACTCTACACACTGAGACCAAACACACCAACCTAAGGAAACTGACGGATAATAACAAAGAAATGAGGAACAATGGAAAAGCCAGAAAAGTTTAACATTGCTCGACTGACGCAACACAGATTTATTTATTTATGAACATGTCCAGTGTGAAGGAATTCAGTGCTTAAGCAATTAATATGTCTAATGTTACCAGTAATAAACATTTTTTTGAAATATATCGTCAGAGAAAGAGTGTAAGTATATTCCTCTAAAATAATTCTGTGTTTTCAGCTTCAGAATCATGAATATTTTAGTCACCATTGTGCTGTGCATTGGGTTTCCAGCACCAAGTCCAAGCCTATTCCTTTACACAATACCAAATTTAGCATTTTAATCGACAATAAAAAAATTTGTTAACATTTTACAGTATCATATGTCTTGGAGGATCGCAATAATATCGTATCGTGAGTTCAGTGTCATGATATGTATGTGAATCGTTACACCCCTATTAACTAAACATACTTTTGCCATATAATATTTAAAAAAAAATCAAAGACAAACAAGGTGCTTGATAATACATTTGGCCACAGAACAATTATTGAGATTCATAAAGCTCAACCAATAGAGGAAACAATTTATGTCAACCTCTCAAATGCAGAAATATGTCCGGTTGTGTGAGTCAGTCACCAGCAGTGCTCTTTATTGACTCGCTCTGAATCACTGAGTCGTGACTCACGTGTGACTCCTCACCCTGAAATCAAGCCCTTCAAGATGATCAGGAAGAACAGCCTCTGCATTGAGCTGGGAGTGTTATGACACATCTCCTCTTCCATTCACCCCATCACAATACATTACAATAGACGTTACACACATTATAAAACATAATGCCTCATGTTGTTAAGCTCATGTTAGCCACACGTTTGAAGCTTGTTTTCATGTGAGATTTTTAAAAATAGAAACAAGGAGACACATGTCGTGTGTACATGCATTTTTAGAGTTATAATATTGATATATGTATGTGTGTGTGCGTGCGTGGGTAATCACAATATGCATGGTAAAAGTATGAATTAATTACACTGTATAATTATCAACAATTCTAATTAATAAGATATTTTTTTAACTGTGAAAATATTTTTATGCTAATTAGGCACATTTGATCAAAATTAGCCTACTGTAAAAAAGCAATAATGGGGCAACAAACTGCTCTGACGGTTATACATCTTTTGCTTTTCACTTTGCATGAATGAGAATTGGGAAGCAAGATTTGCTTATGTGTCCCGAATGATGCGCAAATTATCTTGATATTATGCAACACATTATTATTTTTCTATGCAACATATATAAACATTTATTTCGTTTTTAACGCTCAGGTGCTCTTCGTTTCGGAGTCACACTTGTTATCTTCCCGGTCAAAAGTGACCGGACACCTAAAAATGAAACTTTCTCCATCCCAGTAAAACCAATGCAATTTATTTTTGTTCTATAATATTTATTCTTTTTAATTTAGTATTTTGAGACAATTTAATTGAATTTATTAATATTTATGCAATATTTATGGTTTATTTTTGCCATGGAAAAATATATGTTTTTTTTTCTATATATATTATTTTTTTCAAAAAAATATTAACGCAGTATTTTAGTTTAATATAGCAATTTATGTTTGTTCTATAATATTTATTCTTTTTAATTTAGTATTTTTAGACAATTTAATTGAATTTATTAATATTTATGCAATATTTATGGTTTATTTTTGCCATGGAAAAATATATATGTTTTTTTTCTATATATATGGTCCATATATATTATTTTTTTCAAAAAAATATTAACGCAGTATTTTAGTTTAATATAGAGTCTAGCCCTTCAGAAAAAAAAATATTTGGTCCCACTTTATATTAAGTGGCTTTAAGTACTATGTACTTACATTGAAATTAATACTTTGATACAATGGACTTATTGTGTACATACATGTTTTTACATTGTACTTATATTTTGAAAATACCTGCATGTAATTACAGCTGTAAATAATAAATGTAATTACATTTGTAATTACACAGTTGACCCTTCCCTTACACCTTAACCCACCCTTAAACCGACCTATACAACCACACCTAACCCTAACCTTACCCGTATCACACCTCAATAGCAACAAAAGTGTTTTACAATACAATCTGAACAAAATAAGTACATTGTACTTATTTTTCGATGTAAGTACATAGTACTTAAAGCCACTTAATATAAAGTGGGACCAAATATTTTTTGAAGAAAATTAGCACCATCTGGTTACAGTATAGAGAAAAAGCGTAGAATCATGGTGTAACCACTAGATGGCATGTACAGCTCTCTATGGAGAGGCATGTGAATTCCCCAGCTGTTTATGAACACATTTTTTTGTTGTTGTTGGTGGATTTGTATATATAGTTGAAACAATCTCAAAAACTATTTGTTATTAAAAAAACTGGACAAAAAACTAAAATTCACAATTTTTTTCATTTTTTTACAATTTCCCATTAATTTCTTATGGGGGTCATTTTTGACCAAAGACCACAAGTGTGACTATTTTTTTTAAGACCACTTAGCATGCTCAGATCATGACCTCAATTTTTTTGTGTGTTCACATACATAATGCCATAAAAGTCACCAAGTTTCGTAACATTGCAATGAAGTTGTGATTTTTAAAAATTCAAAACATACTTTTTGTAATCAAAATTTAATGGTGTGTATGTGTATAAAAGTGTGTGTGTGTGTGTGTGTTGGTGGGTGTGTCTGTTTTGCACTCTAGATGTTGTAGAGTGTCACCCCTTTCCTGCGGTGTACTTTTTTTTTAGAATTGTGGCCGATTTATAGATTGTACATACAAAAATTCAGAGAATTTTTATTTTTATTTTTTGTCAATTTCTCATTCATTTCCTATGGTCGGTCATTTTTGACAGAAGAGCACAAGTGTGACTATTTTTTTTACGACCACTTAGCCTGCTCGGATCATGACCTCAATTTTTTTTGTGTTCACATACCCAATGCCATAAAAGTCACTAAGTTTCCTAACATTCGGATGAAGCTGTGATTTTTAAAATTTCAAAACAGAAAATTTTTCGGTCAGAAATGACGAAGAGCACCTGAGGGTTAAAATGTCTTATCCTGACAGTTACGTGAGATTCACAGTAATATGAATCATTATTTCATATTCATATTGTGTTGTTTTGTGTGTTCTGGCCTGAACTTGCATGCAAGCTGAATTCTTGTAATCATTTCTAGTCATGCCAACAAAGCTGGTTCATTTATAAAGCCCCCGCTTTGCTTCTTCCCTGTGATCTCCAGCCGAGAGCGATTTGAGGCAGTATAACTCGGGGTAGATGCTGGGTTACGAGGGAAGTTTGATGTCTTTTGCATCGACAGCATGTTCCTCTTGCGAAGTCAGGTGTTTTCACATGTCCTGCTGTGAGGAGACTTTATTGAAGATGTGTGTGTGTGTGTGTGTGTGTGTGATCACTACGAGTGTGCCAAGGCCCGCTCAGGATATATACTGTATATAATATATATAAAGCTTGTATATAAAGCACACATTAAAGCTTATAAGCCGATCGTCGGCTTGGCGTGTCCCAGGCTTCAGGGCCGGCCCTGACCAATTTAGGCAATATTTTACCTGGCGCCCCATCACCCATCATTTGTGATGGCGATATACAGTATATATATAGCAAGAGCGTTACATCTAGCATTCAAGTCAAGTCCGCTTTATTTTTATATAGCGCTTTTTAGCCTACAATACAGATTATTTCAAGCAGCTTTACAGTAATAACCAAGTGTCATAATCAAGCTTAATTATGTTCAGTGAAGGTTTATTTTGTTGTAATTTAAAAAAAAAAACATGTATTTCATTAATATATAGCCGCTCTAGATAAAACGGATGTCCAAATGTCATTCATGCACACGCTATTCATTGAGCGTAAGCGCCCCTCAAACGAAAGCAATGTTGTCTACATTGGATGCGGCGAGAGGCGACGCTAAACAACATATTACCAACAGTAAACTGATCGCGCGCGTTTCTGGCGCACTTCAAACACTCGCTGGGCGGGGGGAGATTGATGCAGTCGGGGGACTTAGTTACGTTTTTGTGGAGTTGTTTTGCTTTATTTTGTAGTATTTCGAATTAATGGTTTTAAAATAGTATTAGTAAAAAAAAAATAAAAAAAAAAAAAATTCACTCGTTCACTCATTTTGGCGCTACTTGAGTGGTAGCGGCCTTAGCATTTGCCTATATCGCCTATTCCACGGGCCGGCCCTGCCAGGCTTAAAGGGATAGTTCACTTTGAAATTAATTTTTGATATGGTTTATCTTACCTCAAGGGCATCCAAGATGTAGGTGTCTTTGTTTCCACAGTATTTTCAATTTTGACATTTTTAGCTCAAACCGTTGTTGTCTGTCATTCATATAATGCAGGTTTAGGGGGTCCACCTCAAAGAACATGCACAGAGAAGTCCAAATTAAACATGATTCAATGACTCGTACATGTAAGTACACATTGATGGCCTAAGACACGAAACGAGCGGTTTGTGTGAGAAAACCATCAGTATTTATATCGTTTTACCTCTTGTAATCACAGCCATGTCCAAGTACTCTGAGGCCGCGGCCGCTTCGGTCTCCGCATGATCTCTCGCACGTGTGTACGTCACTCATTATTTACACAGAGATTTTCAGAAGTGTTATCCTTCACTGTGAAGATCTAAACATATTTAGATATACAGGAAATTGCAAAGGAAGATGATTTCGGTATATCAACAGACAACGTTGATTTTTCTTCCGCAACCACGCACTTGCGCAGACTGAAGCGTCCGTGCCGTCAGATCACTTGGACGTGGCTGTGGTTACAAGAGGTAAAAACGATATAAATACCGTTAGTTTTCTCACACAAACCGCTCGTTTCTCACACAAACCGCCCTAAACCTGCATTATATGACTGATAGACAACACCAGTTTGACTGAAAAATGTCAAAATTGAAAATACTGTGGAAACAAAGACACCTACATCTTGGATGCCCTTGAGGTAAGATAAAACATATCAAAAATTACTTTCAAAGTGAACTATCCCTTTAACAAAACTGGGTTATTCTTTCCGCGAAAGACAGAGTAACATAAAATCAAAACAAATAAATGTATGTTACTTATGTTGAATATATGTTACACATGCACTGGAACGTAACAAAATTGCAGGACCCTGGGGAAAGGAGAAGTGATAGTGGTCGCTTCTTCTTTGCTCTAAACAGAAAGTGAATGTCACAAGGTTCCTTCAAGTAATTCATGTCTGTTCCCTGTGTGTGTCCACACACCAATGTGGACAAAGTTACTAAAAGTTAATTTTCAGTAATTCTCATAGTCGCAGGATGTCCATCCAGCAAACTAACCACGTGAGATGCACACTAATCTCACAGAGTGAGGTTTGTTGAGTAAATCAAATGGATTTTCACTCCTTTTTGCGAAAAACAAAAGTGTTTGATCATTTATAAAATGATATTTTTTTTTCAGAAACAAACATTTATTCCATTTTGGTGTTGGGCGAAGTTTTTATATGTTGAATGACATGTTATAGATGGCATTAGAAAATGATAAGAAACCACTAAAATCCAATACCTTTCAGGTTAAAGCGTCCGGTGAAGACTCTGATCAGCTGATCTACAACCAAAGTGTCAGCGCGCCAGACACCAGCCGTCTGATCTCAGATCTGGAAGCGTTCAGCCAATATGATTTCAGGATGGCCTGCCGGAGCAGTCAGGGTGTCTCTAACTGGACGGCATGGCTTCCCATCAGCACCAGCGAAGGAGGTAAGCACGTTTGAGAGGAAGAACAAGATGGTGACAGTGTTACAGTGCAGTGTCTTCAGAGCTGAAGTGTGTTTACAGTAGCTAGATGTGTGAGGTCTGTGTCCGCTAAACACTGAAGGTCGGAGAGAGACTGAAGAGGCGTATGTGCGAATGCATTAGGGATGAGCTCAGAGTACTTGGAATCCATCAGGAAAACACATAGGAATGAGAGATATGCCGTTCCTGAATGTGGATGTGCTCTGTGAGGTTCCTCTCCACGTTTGGATGTGTGTTTTCTGCCATGGCTCTGGCTGTCTGTCAGACGTAACTGTACTTGAGCTGTGGTAAGTTTTTCCATGCCAGGTTATAGTTGAAGGAGTGTTTGTAGAAGAGAGAGCTGATGGGTACTTTCCATAAATTGGCATTAAGAAATGTGTCTTTGAAACAAACGACTTTAATACACACAGACAGAAAGAAATGGATTTATGAAATGTTGCATAGAAAACATCCAGCGATCTTTTCTCAAATCGTATGATTCGGAAAACGAACGTACGCACAAAAACATGCAGACGCTTGTCTTCCCAATGTGAAATTGTGCGCAGCCGAATGGTTTCAGATTGCCTTAATGTCATTAACATATAAAAACCCTTTACATGAGAACGACGAGAATTGTTTAGATTTCCAAATAGCAAGTATGTCTGCCTAGTATGGAAGCTTGTTTCCACCACACGTAAGTGAACTTACAGTTCATCCAACACATGTCCACTTTGTATACTCGTTCTGTAGCAAAGAACATATTTCCAAAAGAAGTCGAGGCGTCCAGCTTGTGAGTGGAGCGACAGACACTGCTTTATAATCACTCCGCTCCGGGTTTTCCAGTACCCGCTCCAACACACTTGGCTCTGCGTCCACTCACGTCTGGGCTAGAACAGCGTGTGATTCAAACACTGACACATACCATACATATATACGGATGTGAAATGAGTTTGTAATGCCATCTCATGTTGGTCTTAATTGTGATTTTCTTCTGCTTAACCATATTTACTTTTATTCGACTTTTCAATCTCCAGTGTGTAATTGACGTCAGCGCTGTGTCAGTGTGTGGGAGACAGGACTGATGGAGGAGAGAAGGAAAAGTTTCATTTTTTCCAGGAGAGGGTTTTGGTTGTGGATGGCTGTACTGGGGTGTGTGTGTGTGTTTATATGCGTGTGTGTAGGTGTGGTGTTGTTTTTGGTTATTAGTGTGTTTAGGGTGGTGGACTCGCTTTCAAATGCCTTTTTTGTTCTGCTTTACTCAATCTTTCACCCCACAAGGGAAATCACAAATAAGATACGGGTTATGTGTTTAAAATGTGTGATATCATATACTGCAGTATACATATTTGCACAGCAGACCCAGAAGACTTCTTTATAGTGCTGTCAAACGATTAAAATATTTAATCACGATTAATCGCATTAATGTCATAGTTAACTCGTGATTAATCGCATTAATGTCATAGTTAACTCATGATTAATCGCATTAATGTCATAGTTAACTCATGATTAATCGCATTAAGGTCATGGTTAACTCGCGATTAATCTCATGAATGTCATAGTTAACTCGCGATTAATCGCATTAATGTCATAGTTAACTCACAATTAATCGCATTAATGCCATAGTTAGCTCACGATTAATCGCATTAATGTCATAGTTGACTCACGATTAATCGCATTAATGTCATAGTTGACTCACGATTAATCGCATTAATGGCATAGCTAGCTCGCGATTAATCGCAGTAATGTCATAGTTGACTCGCGATTAATCGCATTAATGTCATAGTTAACTCGCGATTAATCGCATTAATGTCATAGTTAACTCGCGATTAATCGCATTAATGTCATAGTTGACTCACGATTAATCGCATTAGTGGCATAGCTAGCTCGCGATTAATCGCATTAATGTCATAGTTGACTCGCGCTTAATCACATCAATGTCATAGTTAACTCACGATTAATCACATCAATGTCATAGTTAACTCGCGATTAATCGCATTAATGTCATAATGTCATAGTTAACTCACGATTAATCGCATTAATGTCATAGTTAACTCGTGATTAATCGCATTAATGTCATAGTTAACTCACGATTAATCGCATTAATGTCATAGCTAACTCGCGATTAATCGCATTAATGTCATAGTTAACTCGTGATTAATCGCATTAATGTCATAGTTAACTCGCGATTAATCGCATTAATATCATAGTTAACTCACGATTAATCGCATTAATGTCATAGTTAACTCGCGATTAATCGCATATTTTTATCTATTCTAAATGTCTCTTAATTTCTTTTTGTCCCATTATTTTTGATGACATGGAAAAGTGGATCGACTTGCTTTGTGCAAATGTTTTCTAATTGAAAACCACATTGGCATATACTGTGTTCAATTTCACACTAACATTCTCACTTGGAGCAAATAATCTCTCACACAATGTAACACTGTCCATCAATAAAAGGGTGAAAGAAACACTGACGAGGTCCTGATATTGACGAGGGGGTGGAGAAGTCGCATCAGCTGTGTGTGTGTGTGTGCTTGGCCATCATCAAGTGGTGTTTCAGACTGGACGTGCTGCGATGATGTCAATTCACAACGACAAAACACACAGATCACTTTGGTCTTGTCGATGGAATTTGTCAACTTTTTAGTAAAGTTTCCATTCAGAATCTTATTTGCATCCATTTCAGCGTCTCGCGCTCGTTATCCACTCATAACGTAACGTTAACCCACTATTTGGCGGCTCGCAAGCCCAAACGAGTGTGTGCGGCGTGCCTGTTGTTTTGTTTACGGCCTAGCTAGATCCGCTTGCGATTTGGTCGACGAAGCAACAAAACGTCCTCGCGCGGCGCAAACCATTGAAATGAATGGGTTTCAGAGCGTAGCGCCGCGTCCTGTTGCAAAAGCATGTGAAAGAAAACTACAAAGTTTGCTAGGCCAAAAAGACTGTTAATCGCACGATAAAAAAAAATGACGCCGTTAAAATGGGTTTGTGTTAACGCCGTTAATAATGCGTTTAACTGACAGCCCTACTTCTGTTATTTTCCAGACTGATCTCATGAAATGGCGTATGTATGACACGCCAATTCGTATTTCCATTTTTGGCGTGCTATCAACACGCATAATCGCATAATGACTTAACGTTGCATTACTGTATATATAAATATATGACCTACCCCAACTCCGTCCCTAAACCTACCCGTCACTGGGGTTTATACGATTTACGAGTGTTCCTCTACCATCCTAGGAATAAAAGATGGCTCCCCAGACGTAGATCTACATTTTGCTTCGTTTCGCTCGGACATTTAACAGCGTGTACATGCACGCGGATAGCTCAAAATGTGTATAGATAACACGTCATTTAGGTCAAAAGTCATATATGTCATTTTCTGATATTTTTTCCCATCCATTGAAAGTCCACACAACCAAAATCTTCAAGCTTCAAATATTTCATAAAACACAGTAAAACGAATCCATATGAATGGAGCAGTTTAGTCCAAGTCTTCTGAAGAGACACGATCACCCACAAACATTTTAATAGAAACATCTTAGACAAAGTTAATGCAACTGAGAACAACACCGCTACAAAAAGAGCAAACTCTTTTAAACGTTTTAATCTTCGGCTCTACTAATCCTACAAACTCTCTTCCAGAAAGATGTTCCTGCTTTCCCAAACACGCTACACTGGTTCCTGTCCCTCCCATGTTTCATGTAGCGGCCCCTGTCTCATCTGCCCTGACCTCACATGACCTTTGATTTATTCTTGCCCCCCCAAAAAAGAAGGAATGAAATACAGACATGCACACACTGTGGGAAAAGTGAATGGGGCAGAGGAATGCTGTGATGGATAGGACAGGAAAAAGAGGAGGGGGTTTGTGAAGAAGAAAAAACATACACTTTGCTAGTTTCCCAGAGTCCCACATTGCCCAAGGGATGGGAGAGAGAGAGAGAGAGAGAAAACAAAGCTGATCGCTGATATTCCAACGAAATTGGTTTGGCACTTTCTATTTGAACGGATTAGCTTAAACCTGTGAGCTGAACTTACATAATCATAATCACATCTGCTCGTCTCCACCAGTGCTGGACTAGATATAAACGCTATAAACGTATAAAAGTTAAAGTAGTGGACCAGTTATTTACATTTATGCATTTGGCAGACGTTTTTATCCAAAGTGACTTACATTGCATGTCTACTAGGGGTGGAACGGTACACAGAAGTCACGCTTCGGTTCATACCTCGGTTCAGACATCACGGTTCGGTACGATTTTGGTACAATGGAGGGAATAGCAAAACAAAAAAACAGAAGGCATTGTATTTTTTTAAATAAGTTTTATTAATAAAGGCATAGAACCTGCACTGACAATGGTTTTATATAATTAGTTTATTAATCAAATTAATAAAAAGACCTTGCGATATGTTTGGTAATTGTACCTGAATTCATTTTAAATTATTTTGGTAAATTTCAGATCAATGTATGTCTTCCTTAATTTTAATTAACATTATTAATTAACAATGTAACATTATTCTCATCTGAATTATACTTAATTTATTTCTCTATAAAATAATACTACCATTAAAAACACATTCGATTTTCTTTTTTAATCAATGCAGAATGTGTAAGATTAGCGCTCCAAGGAATATGACGAATGTCCAACAGATGGGACCCACAGACTGTTTTGAAATGGAGTTGGATAAATATTGTTTGCTTTTAAAACAGTGTGTGTGTGTGATTTTGGTTGGGTGACAGTTGTAGGTTACAGTTTGTCAAGAGTTTACAGTGTGACAAAAGCACAATGTTGTGTTTTATTGCGAGTACACAAATCTAAGTAAACACTTTGCAGCTTTACTGATCTGAACAAAATGAGTATGTTTTTATGTTCGAGCCCGCGCCTTTCTCTCTCACTCACACACACACTCCAGCATTGCAATCTTGACATCGCAGCCTGTTCATTATGCAGTCGCACCAAACGCGAATAGAGCGTCAAATTTGCGTCTAGTCTAGTCAAAGCGAATAGGACGCGCGTATAAAGCCAACGTTTAAAGTGAACGCGCGTTCAGAGCATAACTAGACGGTTCAGAGCTAGACGATGGTACAGATTATGTGTCCCTAAAGAACCCACGTATCTAACCGTAGTTCCGCATTACATTACATTAATTTGCACTCGTGTTTTATTTATTTTTATACCATGTATTCTCCGTGTAAATTCATGCACCGAACCGTGACGCCCGTTCCGTTTCGGTTCAATACGAATACATGTACCGTTCCACCCCTAGTGTCAAGGTATGAACAGCACAGGGCTTCCGTTGTCCGGTAATTAGACACTTGCCGGGGGAAAAATAAAATGTCCGACAAAATTAAATCTCTCTGGTCAAATTGTCTGATTAAAATTGCATAATAATCCCCCCCCAACACAATATCAATTTGTGAACAAGCCTAAAATATACACCGACCTTTGGCTGTGTTATAAAGGAACCGGCTCTAATGTTTGAAAGTTATTAAACAACATCGCATACTACATTTCAAAGTGGACGCCTAAAATGGCTGTAATATAGACCGAAACAACGAGCGATTGAGCGAGACGTTTCAGATATGCCCAGGCAGACTAGCCTTAAAAGCTGTTAACAGAGGCCAGACGCGACGGACAATGGTGAATCAGGAACATCTCAAATATAACGTTAGATCAGCGGTTCTAATCCGTGCACACGTACAGTTTTTTTTTCTCATCAAACTGAATAGCCTATGCTCATCAGTGGATACAGCCTATATCAAGCAGGGACACGTTTGTGTGCATTTTATATTGTGATTTCACCGGAGTAAATAGAGTCTCTGCGACAGCGTCCGAGTGAAGTTTGCGCAACTCGCGCAGTGCGTCGTCCATGACTCTGATAGCAGCGGATAAAAGCGCTTAGCTTGATTTCAAAAACAACAGATTTTAGCGCTAGATCTCTTATTTAATAGCAAACTAAATTAATGATCTGCTAGTTAGCTGGAGATGTTTATTTATTTGTGCGTAGATACATCCATGCCTCAATGTTTCAGAAAGACCATAGTAAAAAACAACTGGTGTTGATTGACGCCAATCGGACGTTCATGTTTTCTCCCGTCTATTGGAAAGTTAGGCTAATAATAATAACATGTTGCATTGTATACAGCTTGATTATGCCATTTTTTAAGTTACATAGCGTGCCTCCAGTTTTCCTCAACTTGACTAATTAAGAGGCGATATTTGACCGGCATATCATCAAAATGTCTGTAAAATGAAAATGGACATTGTTTTGAAAAATGCAAAACAACTGTTCGAACTCCTTCATCACAATGAACAAATCTTTTTTCGTGTCATTGGGTTCATTCAACGAACGAAATTAACAATTGACTGAACGAGTTTGAACAGGAGAGTCACGAACGCGCATCACAGAACAGAGCAAGGCGAGCATTTGAGCTTATAAAACTTAAACTTTGTTATTTATTTATTTATTAAACGAGCGATCGTTTCGCTTGATAAGACCCTTATTCATCGTCTGGTGTCGTTTAAAGCTCTTTGAACAGTTTGCACTGAAACTGTCTTTTGGACCTTGAACCGTTTGGTTCCCATTGAAGTCCATTATATGGAGAAAATCCTTGAATGATTTCATCAAAAACCTTAATTTCTTTTCGACCGAAGAAAGAAAGACATGGACATCTTGGATGACACGGGGGTAAAAGAGAACTACTCCTTTAATTCGGTTGTAGAACGTGGTTGTCACTCCCGTGAATCACTGAGGTGTGTGTGTACAGAACAGGATTAAGCAGTAAAAGGTTAATTGGCAACTGAGTTTTTCTGTAGTGTGTGTATTTTCCGATAAACAAAGCCCTGTCTGCATGAGAGAACAGTCAAGGAAAACCTTTCTGAAAGCACATTTTACACCGTGTGCAACCGCAAACAGTAAACAACGCAATTTGTGACTAATTGCTTTAAGGACTGAGGTTCAGGCCTTGTAATGCAGCACATGTGCTCAAAGAAACACTCGATCAAAATACTGACTGAGGTTTACTGGTAAAACATGGCCGATGAATAGAGTAGGATCAATCGGTCCCCGTATTTATCCTGGTTTCTTTAAACCGTCTGCCTGATCGTACTGGACATGTAAAAGAGGAATTCGAAGAAGGTTCGGCTGTAGAAATGGGAGAGGAAGGCAGAGCGCTTTTGACGAAAGTGTGTTTTCACAGCCATGAGCCAGAGACACATGTGGAAACAATCAGACGTGAAACCCCTCCTGATAACATCATCTGCATGCCACGCCATGTTCCTCAACGTCTCCGGCGCAGGGACGAGGATTCAGAGGATGAAGCGACAGAGAATACGCTGTCTATCATACCTGAAATGAAGAAAAAATATGCTAAGAAACTGTTTTGAGCCTGATGTTTAAGATAATTCTGCTCTGGGATGTTGGCACACACACACACACAGAGCTATTTCTAGCCCATTACTGCTGCCGTTGCCAGTGTGTGTTGTTATTTCTGCATTAGAAACAGAGACGGCTGCAGTGCAATGAGTTCAACAAAGAAACCGAGAGAAAACTAACTTTGCTACGCTTTCGCAGAATATATCAAGTGGAAATATGTTCAGACTGTAATACAATCTTACCACTTGCCGAATACCGCAGAGAACACTTATACTATCTATTCATAAAAATGAGATTAAACAGTGCAACACTAGGCCTTGTGCAGTGTTTCACATTGTTGTTGCATGACCACATCACACAAGTCGGTGGCGTCATGCAGTTTTCATCTTGGAAATGTAGTTATTTTGCATTGTAATAATAATGAGTAAACATATCAATAGAGATCATGCCATTAAATCTGCTGTTAAGTGTAGCGGCGATGGACAAAATCAAATCAAATCAATCATTTTAGTGCATTTTCACTTTAGCAAGTGTCAAAAGTGTGTTTGAAAAGAGATCAAACTTCAGTCTGTGCTCTAAAGCAGTGCTCAAAAAGTGAATAAATGGATAACCACAGAGTAAATATAATTTAGTACCATAAAATTTAATTGAAAAAAATCATCATTTCATCATTTCATTGAAAAAATAAAATTAAAAAATCAGGTAATTTTTGAGCGACGGAAAGAGCACTCGAGGGTTCAGAAACACGTGACATTTTGTCTGTTATATTGAGATTCGTGATTTGTTATTAGTAAGTGTCTTTGAAAGATTTTGAACTCTCAAGTGAAGCTATATCTCTCATATGTTGTAGAGAAGACCCCCTAGCCAAACACCATATTCGGAAAGGCACAGAGAATGGCTTCAAAACAAATAATAAACAAAAAAGATTCGGCGGACCCATTCACTACTTGTGTTTGCTCAGGATCATATCTAAATGTACTACACAATAGATAAATAAATGAAATAAGAGCATGAGTCTCTGAGAAATGAGGGCATCTGTCATGATGTGGTTTTGTCTTTGTCTTTGTATTATTAGTGGTTCCCTGTCTATTGAGTTTTTCCAGGTGTTTCCTATTGTCCACGCCCCCTTGTTACCTTGTTAAGTTTGCTTGTCTGATTATTTAAGCCCTGTGTTTCTGTCTTAGTTTGTGAGTTGTTGAACGTGTGAGGTCGATGTTAGTCGCTCCTGTGTCCGAGTCCTGTTTCTGAGTCTTTGTTAAATATGTAGTTTGTCTAAATAAAGCCTATACACTGCGTTTGGATCCAGCCTCCTTCCTGTGTTTCTGCCACATCACGGTACCTGCTTCACAGCATCTAAGCACTTTATCCACAGCAACGAGAGTGGAGATGTTGCTTCTGTTGCTGTCACACAGTTTGGATCATGTTAGTTGTTTTCTTTGTTTTAGTTCCGGATTCGGCGCCAGACAATGTGACGGTTGTGGTGAACGGAACAGAAGTGTTCCTGAGATGGGCCGAACCGCCTGGACGGATCAACGGCCGACTGCAGGGATACATGACGGAGTACAGCGCGCCGAGTGTGGAACAGGTAACCGCAAACACACACACACTGAATTTTATGTTTAATAGGAACTCTACCGTAGTTTTATACTGTACAAACTGTATATGAAGAGTTCAGATGCAAAAGCCTCTAAGTGCCATTTGAAATTTTCTTCTAGAATGATCATTTTTATCAAGCTTGTATATTTAAGTTCAGTGATTTCACTTAAATGGCAATGATAATTACCTATTAATTGTTATTTAAGTGAAATTGCGGAACTTAAATATACAAGTTTGATAAAAATCATCATTAAAGAAGAAAATTTCAAATGCCATTTAGAGGTTTTTGCATCTGAACTCTTCATATTCTCTCCGTCCATGTAAAGTCAAAATTAAGTATGTGTTCTGAGTTTGTCACACCACAGAAAAATGTGTTATTAGCCACCCAGCCAAATTTGAATGATAAAAAAGCTGGTAAGTACATAAAATAAGCTATCAAAATCATGAAAAAATGAGCAGTTATCTCTGTTCTCAAACGCTGGGGGCGTGTCCACTGGCTGCGCTGAAACCACGCCCACTAGCGGGAAAGCTGTCGACGGGTCGGTGATATTAGGTGAAACTGCTCTCAGGACGGGAGGATGAACGCTGAGGCGGGAGATAGTCGTTTCTTACCATTAAATACCATTTCTTACCTAGTTACCATTTGTTGTGGACATGTAATACCTTGATATATGAATATGGTATCATTAAGTACCATTGCATTGCCCTGGTATACTATCATGGAGTGCTTTTTGTAGCACTGAGGAAGGAAAGGGATTTTTTCCAGGAAAAATGTTATTCCCTGGGATTTTGAATGAAAAATGACCAATACGACTTGACTTCAAACATGAAATCAAATTCGTTCCATTTCTCTCGTTGAATAGCTGTGTCGATCCATCAGTTTACAGGAATCAGTGTTTCATGTTGACTCGAACATCTCATTTGCCTTGCTGAAAATCCAGCATAAGGCCGTGTGTCCACAAAAGCGAAAACGTTAGCCGCTCTGCTGAAGACGCCGTGCTTTGGGCGCTTGAGAGCGTTTTTTCCGTTGAGACGTGTCGTTGCTATGATACAGAATATCCGCAGCACAGTTTACTTGAAACTGATTTCGCAGATCATTTGTTTCATACCAAAAATTTATTTTTCATTCATGTTGTTGGGTTAGCTCTGCCGGTTGATGTCGTTGTACATAAAAGAATGTTGTGACAGTTGGTCAGTGTGGTTTAGCCCCGCCCCTCTTCTACTGTGATTGGACAGCTGGGTAAAAAGTGACAGGTGGTACGTACGTGCGGAAATGCGTAGGAGGAAATGCGATGCTACCAAGCCGACCAATCGCAGATCTTGCGGTCCGCGTCGTCGCGACGTGTAGTTACATTTTTGAGGAGGTGCACGTCAGGCTACGGGGAAGGGTATGCGGTATGGTACGCATCTGTGCGTATGCTACGCCTTACCTACTGCGCGCACCTTACGCAGAAGTATGAATCGGCCTTTACGCTCATGGCGTTAAAAAAACGCGGCGCTCCCATTGAAAACAGTTTTATAACATACGCCAGGTGTGTGGCCTTACGCCGCCTTCACACTGGCAGTTGAAATCAGCTCCGTAATACGCAATACGTTCCCAACGGACGTCGTTCTACACAGTGAAAAGCGTCGGACGCGGGTAGAACAAAAATGGCGGAGAGATTAATGTTTGATTCTGTCAGTTCTGTATGATCTCTCTGATTAGGGTTATGCTGCGTGAGGAAAGTTGCTCAGGACGTTGACATGTCAGGTCGGCTAAAAAATGTGATATAGTGGTCAATAGTTCAATGTCTACCTTCAATTTAATTGTATTAACTGCCCTTATAAACGTTAGAAAGTCATGAAAATAAAAAATGACATCACAACTTATCGTTATAAAATCAATATTTATTTTATTAAAAGTTAATAATTCAGGTTTGTTTATCAGTACCATAGCAACGCTCAACTTCCGCTGGAATTGTCGGATAGGAACCGTCCGTAGCTTTTCGCAAGAGTTCAAATTTTTGAACGCATCCGGATGACCAACGGACACGATTTTCTTCGCACCGCACTCGGTCGGACCCGTTTCGGACCCATTCGCATGCGGTCTGCGAATCTCCATAGGAAATGAATGACTTCCGGTCGTTTCGCAGCCGCATCGGAGCTGATTTCAACTGCCAGTGTGAAGGCGGCGTTAGGCCGTGTGCCCACCAAAGCGTTTTTCCACCACCTGGCGTATGTTTTCAATTGTTTTCAATGGGAGCGCCGTGTTTTTTAAACGCCATGAGCGTACCGAGGCGCTGAGCGTTTTTTTCACGCTGAAGCGCCCAGCGTTTTTTACTGGTCGCTGGCAGTTGAAAAATTTTCAACTTTGGATAAAACGCAGCGCTCATCACTGTCACTTTTTACCCAGCTGTCCAATCACAGTGGAGGAGGGGCGGGACTAATACCACACCGACCAACTGTCACAACATTCAAACTGCTGCGGATATTCTGTATCATAGCAACGAAACGTCTCAACCAGTGTTGTAGTCGAGACCACCTCACTCGAGTCCGAGTCGACACCGAGTCCATAGAGAGTCGAGTCCGAGTCAAGACCGAGTCCATAGAGAGTCGAGTCCAAGTCGAGTCCGAGACCAGAGACAGTCGAGTCCGAGTCGAGACCGAGACCAGTGAGGGTTGATTACCTAATTTACTTTTATTTACTTAGAGAAATCCTTTTTTTTTTTACTGAATTTACTTAGAGTTTAAAAAATATGATCAGTTTAGGGTAAAACGGCCACATAGTAGGTGGTGTTCAAAGTAATTTTATTACAATTTGTCATGCGCAGTTGCGCACTAGAAAATCACCAATCACTGGGCGTGTCAATCAATTTAAAGAAATATTTTATTAACATACATTAATAATCATGAAAAATATTTTGAATTGAACTCGAGTGGACTCGGGAATAATTCCGAGTCATAAAAAAAAAAATGTTCGAGTACGAGTCAATTCCGAGTCCAAATGGACACGAGTCCATGACAAGACCAAGACCATTAAAATATGGTCTCGAGACCGAGTCCGAGTCTCTAGTACTACAACACTGGTCTCAACGGAAAAAACGCTCTCAAGCGCCCAAAGCACGGCGTCTTCAGCAGAGCGTCTAGCGTTTTCAGCGGGCTAAAAACGCTTTGGTGGACACACGGCCTAAAGCATCAGATTTCACCTGTTGGTCCAGGCTGGTTTATGCTGGTTAGAGCTCAGGTCCCAGCATGAAGCACACACCGCACGCAGGGTTCAGTTGTTGTATATCACTGATTCGCCTGCATACCTCTCCTCTGGCAGGTTCTGGTGGACACGGGTTTGGACACAGAGCTGCTTGTCAATCTCTCAGCGCCCCTGTCCAATGTTTCCTTCAGAGTGTGTGCGTACACCGGCGCAGGACAGGGACCCTGGACGCCCCTCCAAACCATCACGCTCTTATGGAAAGGTATGAAAGCTGACAGATGATAATCTAAAATACATCTCACAAATCTCCTCTCAATGTTAATTATCTCTTCTCTTTTGCAGAAACCGGGCAATCCAGAGGTGAGTGACGTACACATGCGAGAGTTGACTTTTAGTCTAATTAATTTGTTCTACCGCAACTAGGGTTGGGTATCGAGAATCGAGTATCGACTGGAACGGAGACTAACTTTTCGTTTTTCCCGGAATCGTTCAAAAGTAAAAATTTCGATTCCTAGTTTCGATATTCACAGTCCGCCGAGCGGAAGAAGAAACCGCTGAACAACACCAACGAAGAAGCGTCTACCGGAAGTGTTGGCATAACCGCGCGAGTCGAACATGAGTAGCTTACGTCGGCGGTCCAAAGTGTGGCTTCACTTTTCTAAAAATAACGAAATCTCGGCAAAATGCAAAATTTGTGACAAAAGGAGTATTTTTACAGAAGGAGTATTTCCTTCAGAAAGGATTGTTTCCTTCAGAAAGGCCATTGGTTAGCAAGGTTAGCTAAACTTTTTTGACCCTGCCTCTTAAAAGAATCTGAATCGAGAATCGTTAGGAACCGGAATCGAAACAAGGAATCGGAATCGGAATCAGAATCGTTCAAATTCAAACGATACCCAACCCTAACCGTAACCTAACCCTGAAAGAAACCTTTTTTACATTTGTGTGCGCTAATCAAGATGTTAAAGTGATTTCAGACATGCTGTACATGTGATTTGGTGCCTCAAGAAATCCGAACCCACACAAGATATGGAAGTGGACTTTTCCGTTAACTTCCCTTAATTAGTGCCCTTCTTGAAATGGTTTCCGTTTGCTGTTGCTGTCTCAGAAAAAGAGGAAGAAAAAGACAAATTAAGGAAAGAAAGGAACAGAAACGAAAGGAAAGTATTTCAGATGTGAGTGGGAGGCGTGTTTAAAGAGAAACAGAGACTTCTAGGAGAAAACACCCTGCTGTAAATATGGACATCTTGCACTGAGGTCATTTAATGAGCTAATTCAACCAACTGAACAAAACACACATCCACCCCCAGACACACACACACACACACTATGCAGTATATGCTCTTCTAATAACTAGTCGCTCACACTACAGCAGATTTCAGACCTGTTTAAAATCTGTCTAAGCATTTGCTAAGTGTGCAACAAGAGGAGAGATGGTAATACATGAATGAATTTATATTCAGAGCCGGTTGCCAATGCAGCAGTGCCAATGATTTTCCTGAACTGGTAAGAACTTCTGCATTTTGATTTATAGAAACTACAGGGAATCCAGCCAGCAGTGCTTTATCTTCATGAACTTAATCTTGAGTTCATGAATGCATCAGGAACAGAAAGCAAGTTTCGTTACTTGGATTTCTCAGGAAGAAGAATGATGTCAGGCTAAATTCCCTATCATCCGGGTAGAAGAGCTGTAGAAAGAGTGATCTCAGTGCATTCATATTTGAAGCTTACAGTATGTTTAGAGGTTTTTTGATTTTGTCGGAGAAGTCGTCGCACTCTGAGGAGGACAACTCAAGGCGATTTGCGCGATCTACAGTAAATCAATCACTATCAGTGACAGTGTTGCCAACTATTTTCAATGGAAAGTAGCTAAAGCCTGCTCAAAAAGTAGCTTCTATTTTGCCAACTGTCGGATCTTTCTCTCCTAATCCACATGCTATATTTTAATAAAATATATAGTGGATCATCCAATAAAGCTGTTCTGATGTACCTATTTTCTGTCAGACAATGGCAAAGAGGATGATACGCAGTAGTCGTTGACTATGTTTACCAGCAGGCCAAAAAGTCACTAGAATTGTTGCTAGTTGCCTTTTGGGAAATTTACTAATCTAGTGACGAAGTGGCTAAGTTGCCAACACTGATCACTGTTATATATGACAGTTAATTTCTCTAACGTGAGGACTTGAGTTGGACCATTCGTAGCTTTGTAGAGATGGAAAAGGAAAAGCTCCACTCACCATTTCTTCAGAGGCAGTTTCCTAGGTTTTGAAACATATACATACACATCAGTGCTTGCATGTTCATACTCTTTATAATCAAGTTTAAATGGACATAATTGTATTTTTGCATCAGGCCTCTCGGGTCCTCCGGCGTTCTCCTGGCACTGGTGGTACGTGGTGATGGCCATCGCCGTCGCTGTCGCTCTAGCCGTGCTCTTGGCTGTGTACATGACCAGGCTGCGGCGGAAGGAGACGCGCTTCGGGTGGGTGCTGATGAGGCTTTTACTGTCTTTGCCATTCAGTGGCCACACACATTTTCTGTGGTTTATTTTCTTTTCAGGATTCTGACAGCAAAGATGTCAATGCTACTATTAAACATAACTGAAAAATGACTGATTAAAGGCTGATTTAAAGACTATTATGCTTTTTTTTGCTAAAGTCCCTCTGTAGTCAAGTATTTACTCACCCTCATGTTGTTCAACCCCGTAAAACCTTCGTTCATCTTCGGAGCACAAATTAAGACATTTTTGATGAAATCTGAGAGCTGGATCACTCCTGCATACTAGTCCATAGGGTTCTTGAGGGATTGAAACTTGCCGGCCTCGAAAAGTCATTAAAGACATCGTTAAAATAGTCCAAGTGACTACAGGGGCTCAATCTAAACTTTATCAAGCGACGAGAACACTTTTTGTGCGCAAAAACAAACAAAAATAACGACTTTATTTCAACTATTCACTTCCTTCTCCATGAGCCTGTAGTCAGTTAACGTAGTGTGATAGCGTAGAGCTACGTCACACGTAGGCTCACTATTGGCCGACGCTGGTCATGTGTGTGATGCGTGTGACGTACAATAACAGAAGCTTACGTTATTAAACTAGTAACCTGACTCGCGCAGAGGGAGAAATAAACCAATAGTTGAAAAAGTCGTTATTTTTGTTTTTTTGCGCACAAAAAGTGTTCTCGTCGTTTGATAAACTTAAGATTGAGCCCCTGTAGTCACTTGGACTATTTTAACGATGTCTTTAATGACTTTGAGGACAGCAAGAGCCAGTCCCTCAAGAAGCCTATGGACTAGTATACAGGAGTGATCTTAATATCTTAAATATCTTAATTTGTGTCCCGAAGATGAACGAAGGTCTTACGGGGTTGAAACAACATGAGGGTGAGTAAATACTGACAGAATTTTCATTTTTGGGTGAACTAACCCTTTAAAACTCATCTCTGATCACCAAAATGACAGATTTAAAAGTTTTTTTCCCATGCTTTATAATATCTTGAATGTAACTCGACACCATTGCCTCATTTAGTATGTGCGGTTATGTGAATATGCAAATGAGCCCCGCCTCCACTCACTCAGCTCAGAGATCTGCTGGTTGACGATCACACGTTGATCTAATTGGTCACAAGGTAGTGTGTGAAGTCAGAAACACCAGCGATTTCAAACCCTGTTTTTGTTGTTCACTGCAGTTTTATGAAGTTTAGTTTTACTTATGAATTTACGCATGGTTTAAAGCATATTAAAAACACATAGACATATAAACAACATTAAAAGCTGGATTTTCACCACAGGGGGACTTTTATCTAATATTGCTGTTCAACATGTTCACATATTGGTGCTGTTTGTATGACGCCACCGTTTTAACAAATTTGCGTTTTTGCGGTTTACACCGAGACAATAACGGTATCGTTTTCAAAAACTTGCACTTTAAATCTCGTTTTCAAAAGTTTTTATTTTCATCCCCCAAAACATTGTTGTTCTGTAAATGAACGGCCAAAATGCATATAAAGTTTTTTTTATTTTAGTTGAAAGCGGTGTCGTGCAAACAGCCACTTATTCTCTACATCAATGCCAGTGTTTCTGAACTCCATTGTAGTCTTGAGATTCTTCCGGCGAACACGTCACAATATTCCTCATTATAATAATCCATACGCAGAATAAAGGGGCGGGGCCTGGTTGAGTTAGTTAGTGTTGTGTTAAAACTGGTGGTTATGGTAAGGGGCGGGACATTTCCCAAACACACTGACCATTCACGACACACTGATCCAGCCGACCAATCAAAGCGCAGTGTGATTTACAGAAGGAGGGGCTTCATCGAGGCAGGAACTAAACAAAGCGTTACTGACAGACTGGGAAGAGAGGGGCTGCAACAATGGAGAATATGAGGAGAATAATCGTTTTTTTACATTGAAGTTTGAAACCTGTTTTAGTAGAGCCCAAAAGACTTTGTAAAAGGGCATAATAGTAATCCTACATTGCAGCACTGGGGAATTTGAGACATTAATTGTCAGAGGCTGTAAGTGTGTGTATTAGCACTATGATGGACTGGTCATCTGTCCAGAGTGTTTCTCTGCCAATGGCCTGAGATGCTGGAAAACCACTCATAACCTTATATAGGACATAATCTTGATTACATGGGGTCAGGCATCATTCTTTTTAGTAAAATTAATTGAGGAAAACATGTGTAATATCTGAGTTCTGTTTCATGTGAAAGATGTATATTTGTGTGTTTGTTGTACAGGGAGGCATTTGAACCCATGATGGAGAGCGGTGAACTCGTGGTTCGATACCGAGCTCGTCGCACGTACAGCCGACGCACGACAGAAGCTACACGTAAGTTTGCTTTTTCTCTAGCCATACATGAAACTGTCTGATTCTGAGTCTCTACTGGCACATGAAGCTGTAACTAGAACAGGAATACCTGGTCAACAATGGATCAATGAAAGTCTTAGATTGGCTTCAGCTCCACGTCGTAGATGGGCAAACTTACACTGCTGGTTAAATTGTAGGTTTGAAAATCTCCCTTTTACTTTTACTCTGTCAAATTTTGTATCCTCCCATTGTCGCGTTTACAAAGAAAATACTTTTTACAGACTGATTTGCACAGACTGAAGATTAAAACAAACTGTAACTCTATTCTTTTGCTGTCTTGTAAGCAGTGCTATTTCTCTCAGGAAACTTACTGTCATAAAATGCATAATTTCATGATGATGTGAAGAACATTTGTAAGTTAATGGTCTCAAGAGTACTTCATGAAGGAAGATCAGCCAACCTCGCTTCTGAGAAAACTTGAGATGTGTTCATTGTTGTTTGGCAGAGGTTTGAAGGAAATAAGCATGCACTCATAACCTGGCATCACATTTCACCCTCAAACTGCTGGATCTATTACTGACAGGGACAGTTTGACACTGACGTGCCTCAGCATGCAGGAGCAACCAAACTGGATAGAAAGAGGGAGAAGTGAACCTAGAGACCAACAGATGAAGAAAAACATTTTTATAATAATATAGAAACATGATAAATGGGTGTTGGCTTTTAAACCTGACAGAACCCAACACACACATTCTTGTACATCTATCTTTGTGAGGACAACCTCTCCTTACCTAACCCTACGTGTCTACACCTACCCTTCACCTAATTATAACCTTATCCCTACAACCAAGTCTTGACCCTCAAACAGGTATTTAAAGGGGTCTCAGAAAGAGAGGACTGGACATAATGTCACAATTTACTCTCTTTGTCCTCACTTTGATGGTCTAAAACTCCCAAAGATTCAGTAGTTGTACGTGCACACATGAAGATCCTGACTTCACCAAGTGCAACATATTCCTGGATCGACATCTTTGTTGATCCTGGAACAACATTCCAATCAATTAGATTTGAGGGAAAAGTTTACAGTTTATGTCAAGTTTCAGCTGACAACCAGAGTTAAGTGCTTCTACATCAGTGTTATTCACCATCATTTCCCTCTGATTTTAAGTTGTGAGTAGGATTGGGGTTAGGGGTAGGGATGGGGATAGGGGGAGGGATAGGGAAGGGGGCAGGGATGGGAATGGGGATAGGTATAGGGATGGGAATAGGGATGGGGATAGGGTTGTGGGTAGGGATGGGAAAGGGGTGGGGATAGGGATGGGGGTAGGGATATGGATAGGGATGGGGCAGGGATGGGAATGGGGATAGGTATAGGGATGGGGATACGGATGCGGATGGGGGTAGGGATAGGGATGGGGTAGAGATGGGGATAGGGTTGTGGGTAGGGATGGGAAAGGGGTAGGGATGGGGTGGGGGTAGGGATTGGGATAGTTATGGGGGCAGGGATGGGAATGGGGTTAGGTATAGGGATGGCAATACGGATGGGGTAGGGATGCGGATGGGGATAGGGATGGGGTGGGGGTAGGGATTGGGATTGTTATGGGGTTAGGTATAGGGATGGCAATACAGATGGGGTAGGGATGCGGATGGGGTAGGGATAGGGTGGGGGTAGGGATTGGGATGGGGGTAGGGATGGGGTGGGGGTAGGGATTGGGATGAGGGTAGTGATGAGGATGGGAGTGGGGGTAGGGATGGGGATAGGGTTGTGGGTAGGGATGGGAAAGGGGTGGGGGTAGAGATGGGGGTGGGGTTAGGGATATGGATAGGGATGGGGCAGGGATGGGAATGGGGATAGGGATGGGGATATGGATGGGGGTAGGGATAGGGATGGGGTAGAGATGGGGATAGGGATGGGGTAGAGATGGGGATAGGGATGGAGATGGGGTAGGGATATGGATGGGGGTAGGGATACGGATGGGGGTAGGGATAGGGATGCGGATGGGGTTTGGACTACATTTTCAGAAAGAAATGTTTGGAATGAACAAAATATGACAGGAATGAACAAACTATGTTGATTTATATTGTGCCCTTAACAATGTGGATTGTTCCAAAGCGGCTTTACAGTGATAATAGGTAAATAATAAATTAAAGTAACAGATTGTTTTGGCTTTATGGCAGCTCTAAAATAAAGTTATTTTCCAGTTAAAGTTAGTTTTGATTGATTTTCTTCCTTTGCAACAACCATTAGTTATGAACTTAGTGGCCGCTAACACGACACCGCTCTAACGGAAAACGCTTTAGTTCTCTCTACGCAAACTTTAAAAACGTGAACCTGTGAGAACGCTGTTTGTGCGCTGGCATGTAGATTTTTTTTCCAAAATTTGCTACAACTTTAATACATTTTTCACCTTACCCGTGTCCTGGGAATAAGTTGAAAGTAAATGGGATGTGTTCCATTATTTACAAAGATTGGCTATAACTCACATGCATATCTCAGTGCTGTCATGAGCTAAATCACTGAAACAAAAGCTGAGTGTTGCTCTAGAGTTGAAACATCTGCATTATCTCAAGGTCCGGTATCTGATCCAGAGATTTCCAGGGAAGCCTGACGTCATGTGTTGTGAGATAGTGAGAGGACGGTCATGGTGGTGTTCATATGAGTGTGAGCTTGTTTTGAGCTGTAGTAAAGGGTGGAGGGTTTATGTCATCTGGACAAGCTCCATAACATTTTGTTTTTGCTCTTTTTCTATCCTGATTTCCATTCGGGGTTCATTTGTAGAGCAAAGCAATCTTGCAACATCATAGGGTACTTTTAGACTTCTCTTTGGCCGCGCACACACTTCTGCTAAATGCAGTTTCTCTCGCTCTATCGCAAATCGCATTCTTCAGTTAGAGTTCATAGTTCAGCTAGTTCCTCTGTGCATGTTTTTGTGTTGAGCTCGAGTCCTTCATCCTTCGTCGTTTACTTTAATCACACTTGAGATAATATGAAAAAGGCAAAAATGCTCCCTAAATATTGACAAAACGATAACCACAGTTTATAAAACCCAAAATAACAGAACCGAACAGTTTAAGTCATTTTAGGGATTCACGAACTCACAAAATGCCAAACATTTGTGAGAGAACGCTAACGCATTGACACATATTTTTTTTCCTCCATCTCATATTGTTTTCTTCTCCTTGTCCCTTTAGGGGCTCCATACCATTTCCATTTGCTTCATTGTATCATTAATCACGTCTTAATCCACTTTTGGATCTCGGACCACCAGAATATATTGTACCATTATTGTTATTTTGTTCATTATTATAATTCGAATGTTATTTTTATGTAATACCTTAAATTCTCTGTTAGTGACATTTATCATTTTCCTACAAGACATTTAACTTTCAATCATTTTAAACATACCTCACATTGTCATCAGAAATAAAACATAGTACATCTATTTGTCTCGATGTAACACAATTCTTCCGAACCACTTGAAATACAGTCTGAAGTTGACAATTATCATGCATTTGGTGCCAGCAGATATCACTTTGGTTGATAGTGTGTCACTTGGAGATTGTATTACAACACAGAGAGAAACTGTTATTGTCAAAAACAATATTCTCTCTAAAGAATAGGACTATATTGTTTGAATGGCATGATGTTGAAAACACTCTCAAAGAGGCTTTGAAACTGATGCTAATCTCTCAGGTGGCTCGTTGTTTTCTCAGTAAACTCTCTGGGGATCAGCGATGAGCTCAAACAAAAGTTACAGGACGTGATGGTGGACAGACATAAGCTAACGCTGGGAAAAACACTCGGGGAAGGTGAGCGCTACATGACTGCTGTACGGATCTGTGATCTGTATTGTCCGATCAGATCAGATAAAGACTTCTGTGTGTGTGTGTGTAGGTGAGTTCGGCTCTGTTATGGAGGGTTCACTCACTCAGGAGGACTCTGTGCTCAAAGTGGCAGTGAAGACCATGAAAAGTGAGTCAATAACACCGACAGCATCTCTGAAAACACCTGCAATCATTCCCGTCCGACTAACGTCATCGTCCCGCTGTGTTTTGCTCAGTTGCTATCTGCACTCGCACAGAAATGGAAGATTTCCTGAGAGAAGCGGCGTGCATGAAGGAGTTCGACCATCAGAATGTCATGCGGCTTCTAGGTGAGTGGGGTCACACTTTCAGTAAAACATCTCCTGACATAAACCTACACGAACGATTTGCTCATTTCCCCTCCATGTTGCCAAATACAGTAACAGGAGATGGTTTATAATCGCTTATAGACAGTACCTCAAATCTCTTCACACAATTCTCCTAACCAACTTTCAACTTGGAACAGCAATTAATTTCACATTCAAAACCTCAAAACGTTTTCTTTGGTAAAATGTCTTTACAAAACCAGAATGACACGCTACTGCTCATACTTGACTGCGGTTTGTTACATAGTCCATGTTTACATCACAGTACAAAATGTTTCTAGAGTTTTCCCCATTTGTATAGATGGTAATTAAATTGAAATTGTGTTAATTAAATTGTGTAGATGTTCAGATACATCTAATTGCTTTGATAGTATTTAATTGTTTAGACTTAGAATACATTTGAACCCTTGTGCATCAATTAAAAGTTACACATGGGTACATAGAGGACAAAAATGTCCATGTCAAAAAACTGTCATAAAAATGTGACGCTTCGGAGCACAGACTTAAGTTTGGTATCATTTTAAAGAAGACCCTTTGCAGATTATTGCTGAAGTAAAAAAAATAATAATACGTAAATCCAAAAAAAAAGTTATATAGGTATAAGTTTATGAAAAATTATTTATAAAAAATGTATATTTTATAAATCAGGTTCAACTCAAAACTGCAATAAAATCAAAGCCATGAATCTAAATAGGTTGTGTTCCAAATTTGAGGACGATATCTCAAAAAATGAGCTTTCGGTAACAGTTTGTTTGGGCGTAGTAACATATTTTCCCCATTGGGTCCCAGCAAAACCCCACTGGAGCTCACAGTGATTGGATCTGAATTTGCAGTTTTTCTCTCTCAGTATTACAAACACACACATACACATATTTTTTTTATAACACACATACGAACCACACTCTGACATCCATACCAACACACCCACACAAATATCGTTGCATAATTTATCCAGTTGGCTCTATAGTATGCCGAACCAGAAAACAGGAATAAAGCGATATTTGTTTTATTGCCCAAACTTAAAAAAAATGGCACCATCTGATAAAAAAATAGTAAAAAAATAAAAATTTGAAGCCTTGCCATCAGAATGAAAGCCTCTTAACAAAGATTGCATAATTTTATAGTTAACTGAACCGGGGATTAAAAATGGCAGTTTTAATGGGTTTCAATGGGGACATTTTTGTCCAAAAGGTGCTGAGAGGGAGTATTTTTTGTACCTAATGCAAACAATATTTTTTTAAAGAAAATTACAGTGAAAAATACACACCTGTGCCAATTTTTTTGCAGTTGGTTTTAACACAGGCAAAGTAATAAAAAAAAAAAAAAAAAACTGAAAAAGACAAAAATGTCCATAAGGATGCACAAGGGTTAATATGGTATTACCGTAGAAATGTAGTGAATTTGTCTTGTATTCTGCTAGGTTTTGAACTTAAGTTTAATGGTTTTGAAAGAGTATGCAAACGTGCAAATTGTTTGATTGGGCTTTGGTGGTGTTTGTGTCTAAGTAAGGAAAGAGGTGATGTAATTTAAAAGATGTTGTCATTGAATGCATTTGTGCCAAAGCAATGATAAATGATCCAGAGTTTAGCCCACATAGACTGCTGTTGTGATCACTGAGTGAAGGGTTGAAAAAGTGACCTAAGTATTGAGAAACGTGTCTTTTCTACACTTTATGACATGGGGTGAGTAAATTATCAGCAAAAGTTTGTTTTAAAAAGTGAACTACTCCTTTAAGAAGTTTAACGTACGTCTTGTCCTGCAGACATGAATGGTCAGGCAGTTTGATGAGGAGACGTGTGCTGTTACTTTAGACTGACGCTGTCTTCAGAAAATGTGAGAAATGTGTTTGTGTGATAGGTGTGTGTCTGCAGACAGTGGAGAGTGAAGGCTATCCGTCTCCTGTTGTCATTCTGCCCTACATGAAGCATGGAGACCTGCACAGCTACCTGCTGTACTCCAGACTGGGAGACACTCCTGTGGTGAGCTCACACACACACACACACACACAAACCTTAACCTGAAAGAGAGGCAGTTCCTTTTAAAATAAAAAATAGCTGTCATTATTTACTTGCTCTAACCGTTGTGACTTTCTTAGTTCATACTGTGGTTCAGAAGCCTTTTTTTGTGAGTAAATGATTCAGAAATAAAGTTAAATATTTTGGATTTTATGCTCAGATTTGAAACATTGGCTCATCCAGCACCAACGCTACTAAAACAAGTCTTTTTTTCCTCAATGGTTACACCATCGCTTCTGAATGCAAACACTGTGAAGGAAAGTGAATTTGAGGCACATTCTCATGGTCAGAGTTGGGAAATCATAAATTGAGTTCCTCTAACGGACAGACATCAGGCACACGCTCACAATACATCGTCTCAGGGACATGTTGTACCGCAAAGTGTTATTTAACGCCCACTGGTCTATCATTTTTGTTATTGTGAATGGACGTGTGTGAGGTCAGAGCAAGTCTCTGGCGCCACCTGTCTGTCACGTGAAGAACACACAACAACATCTTACATTGGAAGATGACATAGCTTTCTACAGCAGTTTGTTTCTCCTGTGTGTAGTATCTGCCCTCTCAGATGCTGGTGAAGTTCATGACGGATATCGCCAGAGGAATGGAGTACCTGAGTGACAAACATTTCATTCACAGAGACCTAGCAGCTCGAAACTGCATGTGGGTGAAATAAACACATTTTCTACCTCCAGCACTACAGATATGGACATGCAGTATTGATTTGAGTTTGTTCTTCCCCTTCTCTGCTAACCAGGTTAAATGAGAACATGAATGTGTGTGTGGCTGACTTTGGCTTGTCTAAGAAGATCTATAATGGGGACTACTACAGACAAGGGCGCATCTCTAAGATGCCCGTCAAGTGGATCGCCATTGAGAGTCTGGCAGACAGAGTCTATACCACTAAGAGTGATGTGGTAAGACATCGTCCATTTGATAAACGAGGCGGAAGCTGAACCAACTCTAGGATAAGTGCTTCGCATTTAAAAACACATTTCAATAGATTTCACAGCCCAAGCCAGAGTTTTTGTCTAGTCATTTTTGACCGAAAAATTCGACCTTTTGTTTTTTGTACGAATTGTTTGCTTCAGCGGAGTGTTGCAAAACTTGGTAAAGGTTTTGGCACTTGCTATGTGAACACAATTTGGAATTAAATACTAGTTTAGGTTTATGGCTTTGATTTTCTCAAAGTTTAAAACATATTTTGGAAAATATATTTCATATAAAATTTAAAAATAGTATTTTAATGTATTTTTCATAATAATAAACTTAAACTTGTTTTTTTAGCTTTTAAAGGTTTTCACTTCAGCAGTAATCTGCCAAGTTTCTTCTTTAAAAAGAAATCAAACTCTGTGCTCTAAAGCATTCAATAGGTGGTTTGCAGTCACGTGATTGTGTTGACGCAAGGAGTGAAGAGCGCAATGGACGAGATGGAGGAAAATCCGTACTGTACTACTTTTAGACGCTATTACAAGAGAAATATATAAACGGAAAATGGAAAAATATGTTGGACGTGATCCTTACGTTATGAAGAGGGCCGATTTTCAACTGAATTGAGAGATTTGCCTGTAAATATCAGCAACTAACTCGTCTTACAGACATACTTTAACTTGGAAACTGGTACGTTACACAAACAGCCACATAAGTGTATTTAAACACATGAATAATGTAATTATAAGCCACATAAATAATGTATTAACTCACATTTGACGAAGTGATTACTGTACAGGCATTTTCCCATTCGCCTCCTCCCGACCGCAGACGTAGGTTTGCAAGGCATTTTCCCCGATGTTTTTCTGTCAATTTCTTGTATTTTCGCCCCTTATGAACAACAACTTTTGGCACACGATAAAAACTCCTTGTGGTTTGATCGATTTGAGCAACTGTAAACGACGCAAAACGTAGGCATTCATAGTGCTTCCTAAATGAAGAGTTCAGATGCAAAAGCCTCTAAGTGCCATTTGAAATTTTCTTCTAAAATGACCATTTTTATCAAGCTTGTATATTTAAGTTCAGTAATCTCACTTACATGACAATTAATAGATAATCTTCATTGCCATTTAAGTGAAATTACTGAACTTAAATATACAAGCTTGATAAAAATGATCATTTTAGAAGAAAATTTCAAATGGCACTTAGAGGCTTTTGCATCTGAACTCTTCAAATATAGAAAATCACTTCCTGCCCTCCATCTGCGTTTCGCGCCATGGCAACACAGTGGCGTGATGTCACAAGCTATATTTACAACAGTTTAAGTTGGAAATTTCATTTTCAGGTCAATGCTCAAAAAGTGGTTAACAGGCAATACATTCACAAACGTAATTTCAGGAGGAGTGAGCCCATCTAATCTTTCAATTAACTGCCGGAGCATATAAGCAGTCATATATACCCAGACAGCAAACTGACATTGAATCAACGTGGAAACGACGTCTCTCGTGACATTGAAACAACGTTGATTTTGCTCATCGAATTAACGTTGAACCAACGTCAGACGCGGCATTCTTCAAAGCTAAATGAAAATCGAAAATTGGTTTGCTTTGATAACGTTGAAACAACGCGTTGATTTCAAGTTGATTTTCCGTTAGTTTTGAAAGAATGACGCGTCTGACGTTGGTTCAACGTTAATTCGATGAGCAAAACAATGTCAGATCAACGTTGTTTCGATGTCATATTTCCACGTTGATTCAATGTCAGTTTGCTATCTGGGTAATCAGCTGTTCTGGGATCCATCCACCTCCCCAACTCCACCAACATGATTTACGCCGCCTTCACACTGGCAGTTGAAATCAGCTCCGATGCGGCTGCGAAACGACCGGAAGTCATTCATTTCCTATGGAGATTCGCAGACCGCATGCGAATGGGTCCGAAACGGGTCCGACCGAGTGCGGTGCGAAGAAAATCGTGTCCGTTGGTCATCCGGATGCGTTCAAAAATTTGAACTCTTGCGAAAAGCTACGGACGGTTCCTATCCGACAATTCCAGCAGAAGTTGAGCGTTGCTATGGTACTGATAAACAAACCTGAATTATTAACTTTTAATAAAATAAATATAGATTTTATAACGATAAGTTGTGATGTCATTTTTTATTTTCATGACTTTCTAACGTTTATAAGGGCAGTTAATACAATTAAATTGAAGGTAGACATTGAACTATTGACCACTATATCACATTTTTTAGCCGACCTGACATGTCAACGTCCTGAGCAACTTTCCTCACGCAGCATAACCCTAATCAGAGAGATCATACAGAACTGACAGAATCAAACTTTAATCTCTCCGCCATTTTTGTTCTACCCGCGTCCGACGCTTTTCACTGTGTAGTACGACGTCCGTTGGGAACGTATTGCGTATTACGGAGCTGATTTCAACTGCCAGTGTGAAGGCGGCGTTAGGCATCTTGCTTCCTCCACTGCGGACAGCAAGCTGAACTCACTTAACCTTATTAGCTTACAGATTATATGGGTATATAAGCATAGCTATTCCATAAATATAAGTCAGTAACATCAAATCCCTAAAAAATACAAAAAAATGATCAGACAAAAAAAACCACGACAAATCTGTTTCGCCAATATGCTATTATTACGGAGAACGCAGATCCGAGAACAGCAGTGATGTGCGCAGTGTTTCACTCTGCAGAACTAGCTCACACTAGACAAGAGCAATACACACAATTGACCCGTCGCTAAGCCCCGCCCTCCCTAGTTACTGTTGCTACGCCTGTCAAGCTTTCGCGGCTGGCCCATCTATTATAGTGTGGATGCACCGGTGTCAGACATTTCAATGAGATAATTAGTAATTTTCGGCGAACATGTGAAATATCTGAGAGAGCAAGACAAAAGGGACTACAGTAATCCATTCGAGGGATATATTCACGACATTATATGCAACCGATTAGAGAATAATTTCTTAAAAATTGAAGTTAAAGCCTAACGTTATAGTCCCAGCGCGAGCAGCAGCGCCTCATACGCTGACCGTTCAAATGGGAAACACAAATTGAGGAACAGCTGTGTTCATACACAGCAGGGTATGTGAAAATAATCCTAATAATTATAAATCAAACAGCTTATCAATAAATCTTGTGGAATAACACTAATACCGGGAGAGCCGCGATCGGATTGGGTTAAGTTAAGGGGTAACGTTAGTAGGACGTCGATTAACAAAATGCTGAAATATATTTTAAAGTTTCTCAGTGAGCCTTTGTCTTGTCTCTTAATCGTCTTATTTTACGTTATCATTATGACCAAAGAACCGTCAATATTTCCAAGCAATAGGTGTTTTTGTTAAGCATGTCGACATTTACCAGAATGGGTCTCGCACATAGACTCTAGATCACGCCAATCATTTCTCCCCTTGGCTTTTAGATTTTCTGGAAGGAAAACAATTCCTCTCCCCCGTCCAAACTTTTAGTATACCGGTATCAGATTTGCACAATCCATACGCACAATGCTTCAGCATGTTTCCCTCGTTCGAAAGCTTGCCAGACCTCCCGCGCATAGTTACGGTTGCTAAAACACGATTGGCCAGTGGCAGTTTTTGGGCGTGGCTTAGCGAAGGGACTGATTCAGAACTGAGCTTCATATGTCTGCCTGGTCTTACTGGGACTGATTCATCAGACAGTTTGAGGATCATATTGTTAATGAAGTTTATGTATTTGTCTGTCCCGCAGTGGTCGTTTGGAGTGACGATGTGGGAGATTGCGACTCGAGGTCAGACGCCGTACCCTGGAGTGGAAAACAGTGAAATCTATGATTATCTGAGGCAGGGAAACCGTCTGAAACAACCTCCAGACTGCCTGGACAGCATGTGAGTAAAACCTGAAAGGCTTAACATCGTTTTAACCAACTTCAGCTTAAGGATGGCTTCACACTTGTCATTTTGAAAGGAGGTTACACCGCTGGGTAATGAGAATGATAAAATGAACCAGGGCTAGAATCCTAATGCAATAAAGACACCTGATTTTGTACACGCTTAGCTCTTTAAAACCCTCTAGTGACACCAAAGGGAACTGAGGATGTAATGATGGTTCCCAAACCAAATTTGTTTCATGTTATACATACCGTGTCCAATCACAGGACAGGCGATGTTTGACGTCCTTTGTCCCCCACAGCTATTCCCTGATGTTTTCCTGCTGGCTGTTGAGCCCGAAGGACAGGCCGAGCTTCGAGATCTTGTGCGGCGAGCTGGAAAAGGTCCTGGGAGATCTTCCGAGCCAAGACCCGGATGAGATACTCTACGTCAATATGGATGAGACGTCTGGAGAGCTGGGGGCCGTTGGGGGCCGTGACCCCTTAACGGGGGGTGTCCCCTGTGTTCTCGGGGCCCTGAAGGGTTCGGGCTCTGTGGCCACTGTGGAAGTCCACCACCCCAGCCGGTACGTGATCTGCCCCCAACATGAGAACCAGCGGCTGCTCAACGCAGACTCCCTGGAGAGCCTGAACCTCACGGGACCCGTCCCGCCACTGCAGCCCTCGTCCTGCTCCACTCCAGTGCCGCCCTCCGAGAGCCAGGCCCCCGAGGACAGAGACGAAATGAAGTGCGTGCCCTGGCAGGGCTGAGCTATTGCTCCAGACTGAGCTAATGCTCCTACCCCATCAATTTGCACACACACACATGCAAACATGTTTTTCTTTGCATTCCAAATTGTCCTTTCTCTTCAGTGTAGGTTCATCTAATCAAGTCTTACACTGTGTCCTAACCAGAAAGGATGTGATACGTTTCCAGTCATTTTCAAAACAAAATTGTGTTTGAGTTATAACACCACCCTAACCCGGTATATTAAACTTCGGTTGTAACTGTGCGTTCACACCGAGCGCGAATAGCACATCAAATTCGCGTCTACTGCGTCTAGTTTGACGCTTGACCACTTTGTGTTAATTCACGCGTCAAGAGTGAAACTGACGCACGTAAAAACAAAAGTTTGAAGCGTAATTTACGCGCGTCAGAATCGAAACCCGTTGGCGGCCATCTTTTTTACGTTGATCGAACATTCATCGAGAGAGTCACCGCTCTGTATTTTCTCGCGTGGGGTTCATCGTCGCCGTATTTGTGTCCACCGGACCCTTCGAAGGCGAACCGTTTGGCGAGTTTCACCATTTGCTCGCTCCAGGAGCTGCGCTGGATGACGGCGGTAATTACGCCTGTCACACGCCCAGTTTGATGACCTGTCGTCCCGCATCAGAGTGAGGATCACGCTCGCCCTCATCCATCTAATCTGTCTTTTGTTTTGATGATAAATAGAGCCAGCCTCCAAAAGTTATTAACCTGTCCTGGGATTTTTATTCCGCGTCTCTCTCAAGTCCAGACACGAACTTATGCACATGTATGTTGGTTGTCTTTACATCATAATAATATTTCATATAATCTAGATATGGAATAAATAACATTCAATACAAAATGAACATGTCTCGTAGATTGAAATAAAGTTTTAAGTGATCAAATATTTGCTTTGTTGTGCATTAGAGCCACACCAGACATTTAGTCGTATTACAAAATAATTTATTGAAGCATCCAGATCCTTCACCACGTGAGCAAGCAGCTAGGCTCCTGATTGGTTAACGCGGCGCGAATTGACGCCAAAGTTCAGATTTTTCAACTCGGACAGCAGACGCGAATTCACGTCAAACGCATGAATGCGCAAATAGCACTAACTAAATCATTTGTTTAACGTGCCAGACGCTCAATCCGCGCCATTCACGTGAACTTGACGCGCAAACGAGGCGTATTCACGTCTACCGCGCCGCACTCTACAGGAGCGTAACATGTCTTCACATTGAAATCACTCGCGTCTGGTGTGAACGCAGAATAAAGCTTGTTCTGCTACTTTTCAAAGAGACACAACTTTGAGAAAGCCACTTGAGAACCACGTAAAACATGGAAATGCTCCTCCATTAGCTGTGGTAGGGCTACGGCAACACAACAGAAACACAAAAGATCGGCAGCAAATCTTGTTGCACCCTTTTATCACATCACGACTGGTTAGGACATGGTGTTGGACTCCAAAACGTTCGGATATTGATATCAGTCAACTGGGATCTGCTCATGCTGATATTGACCACACCAACTCAGGAGGTGATTGGATTCACAATGACCAATGACACAAAGCCGGGGAACTAGCGTGACACTGCCACTCTGTAGATGTAGAAGAGGATGCAACTGGTCAAAGACTGAAAGACTCTCTCAAGTCTCCTGACCAGCATCTTTTCCAAAGAAACCCGTGGAGGATGACGAGAACTTTGCATGTTTGGTCTAAGGTCAAACCAAATCCTCAGTGAGTATGTGCGTGACCTGGAGACGCATTTGCGCTAACCTACGCGTTAGCGTACTTTCATAACTCTGTCTCAAAGGTTTTCTGAGTCAACAGGGTTGTTTTTTATACATTGATTAGAGACCAGTTTTGTGGTTTCTGTCAACATCCGCAGGTTTAGAGGAGTAGACTGAGGTCTTTGCTTCTCAGAGACCCTGCCCCAGACTCAAGCACAGTATTTTTTTTTATAGTTTCCTAATGTTTTTTTGTACATTTGATATTTTGCACTAATCAACTTTTTGTCAGTGTATTGTTTGTTTATGCATTTTTATCTGATATGGACATTTAGACATTGTATGTTAGACAAACAGGTAACACTTTACTTGAAGGGGTGTGCATAAGACTAACATGACACCTTCATAATCATGATATGACATGTTATGAATATGAAGGAAGTTTTATGCATGTTTGTGACAACTGTCATTAAGTGTCATTCGCTCAGTTATGACATTTTTAATGCAAAAATGACATTGTTTGAGATGTCTTTGTTATGACACCTTGACATAAACCAATACATCATAACCTGTCAGTGTCTTTGTCATGACAACTTGACATTACTAAGATGACACAACCTGTCATAAACATGATATAGTAGATTAATTATCAAATTTAAGAAACCACCTAGCTTTATTGGTCAACATTACACATATCAAACCTATTGGTTAACATTTCAAAAGTCTTGTGGATGTATAATTAGTATGTGTTTTGTGGCCTTATTTTAGAAACTTTCATTTTTAGTTTTTTTACAATAACATAAACAATATTCTCTCGAAAATACAAACATGTACATACATGTTGCTCATATATTACGGTAGCCCTGTTTGTGCTAAATAGAGTGTAATTTCACCTGTGCCATTAATATGTTTATAAGCAACTGAAAAAAGTACAAATGTCAGAGCATGTCAGAACATCTCAAGGACCCCAAAAACACCTTAGACCCCAGAGGGTTAAACTGTCAGGTGGTTGGTTTTGGCATTGGCGTTCATGATGCCATTATAACTTTTCAATGACAAATTCAATTAGTACCAATGTCAAAGCCAACCACATGACAGACTTAATTTTATGTCAAGTTGTCATGACAAAGACACTGACAGGTTATGATGTTATGGTTTATGTCAAGATGTCATACCAAATGTCATATTTGCATTAAAAATGTCATAACTGAGAGAATGACACTTAATGACAGTTGTCATAAACATGCTTAAAACCTCCTTCATATTCAAAATGAAAGTGCCATGCCAGTCTAATGCACACCCCTTCAGTAAAGTGTTACCGAAAAACATTTACCATAAAACATTACCATATTATGATTAAACCGAGTTTCCAAATAAGCTCAAATGCACATGACATTGTTATTTTGCCATTTTATTTGGTCTTTTGTTAAAGTCATTTCTTCCACTCAGCCTTTAATCTAATCTGAAATTTAAAAAAGTGAATTCAATTCAATTTTTCATCATAGACCCAATGTTTGAAAAAAAGATGTAATGGTCATTTGATTATGGATGTATGTGGTACTAGTAAGATTGAGGTACTTTAAGCCACAATGCTTTAGATACACACTGTCTAATTTACGATCTTCATGCCAGTGCACAGTTGGAATCATCTATGTGACATTCTGTCTACACACACATTTTAGTGTGTGAAACATTGGTCCAACATTAACTGGACCGCACCTTCTGTGTATATTTGCATGCTCACATCTTTGGTGATCTGGAACACTGTGTGTAAATAGATGGATTTGAAGTGTCTCGTCTGACCTCGGCTAAAGAGGACAAGTTGAAACCCCTTTTGCATGTGGTATTTCAATGCAAAAACCTGCATCTTATTCACTATCGGCAGTCTATCAGCAAGGAACAGTGCTGAGATATGAGGAGGTCAGGTCAGTTCACACAGACGCTCCTTTTCCCCGCTAAATTAGGCTCTTTATACACAAATACTCTGTCGTTTCTGCCTAGTGCAGTTAACATTGCACTATTACATCCACAAACAAATATTGCATTTAATATTCTGTCGATTGTCAGTAAATCAGCCAATGAGGATGAAATAGTGGGGAAAAGAATTATAACCGGACAAGTTTTAGGTACTGAAAAATACAAATGTTGTTTTATCAAAATATGAATTCATAGACAGAAGCACGCACTTGAAAGTGCCTTTGAAAGCCAGTATTTTGCCTTAAAATGGCTGTTATGGTGCACAAATTTTTAGCTTTAGGTTTATATGTCTAATGTTGTCTACATAACATCAATGTCATTATTGTGATTTTGATACGCTTTGTTTTAAAATAAATACTACCTGCACAGTTGACGATTTGTGTGAGTGTGTGTGTGTGTGTTGTTATAATTGCACAGGAGCTGTATGTAAGAAATTTATCTCGATTAATCAAAAAATGGCCCTGATATGTCACTAGACATTAAGAAATCATGTTCATTTCAAGTACTTATATCACTGACAACGGTACTCCAGCCAGGATATTGTCATTTAAAAAGTGAAGTTGATGTTGTCTCAACTGATGTTGATGTTGTTATGTTGTGTTTCGTCTGATGCTCCGCCCTCCACCGATCTACCAATCACAGAGTCTGTAGTGTTGCTGCATTCGGGTTGCCAGATCTTCTCTAGTTACTTACCACAGCTGCAGATACAAACATGTCGGATAAACACATGTTGGATTCTGCAGCCTATCTGGCAACCCTTGAGTCAGATGGAGGGGGTGTCATTTGAAAGTGATTGCAGTACCAGTTTTGGCCACAATATTAATTTAGCTAAAAGCCTTCTTTCCTCAACATAGCATAAACTTTCTTCACATCCAAAAACACTCCTACTAGTACAGGTACTTCCTTGTTGACTTGAGTCTTCTTAATATCAGGCTCCAGACATATTTCCGAATCACATGACTTTACATAATACAACCATTCTCTCCACAATCTTGCACAGATTAGACACTAAGGCAATAGGCCAATAACTAGCTACTGAATTGTCCTTTCCTGGTTTTGACAATTTTGACAATTATCCCATGTTTACAACTTGTTGGAAGAATCCCCTTTTCCAAACTTTATTAAAGAGATGTCACTCCAGCCCAACCCATATTCACTGCCCGCCCCCTAGTGGCCACAAATAACCACTAAAACAGGACACAGTTTACTGGAACATTAAAGAGAATGTGATTATGGGCTGGTTTCTACGGAGGCGTATTGCATTCACTTGAAGAAAAAAAAATCTACTCTGTTTTTCTGAATTAACGAGTTAATTTTTCATGAGAAAAAAAATATTTTGCTCTGTTTTTCTGAATTAATGAGTTAATTTTTCATGGATTTTTTTTTTTTTTGCTCTGTTTTTCTGAATTAACGAGTTAATTTTTCATGGAATTTTTTTTTGCTCTGTTTTTCTGAATTAATGAGTTAATTTTTCATGAGAAAAAAGATATTTTGCTCTGTTTTTCTGAATTAATGAGTTAATTTTTCATGGAATTTTTTTTTTGCTCTGTTTTTCTGAATTAATGAGTTAATTTTACATGGATTTTTTTTTTTTTGCTCTGTTTTTCTGAATTAACGAGTTAATTTTTCATGGAATTTTTTTTTTTGCTCTGTTTTTCTGAATTAATGAGTTAATTTTTCATG